ATATATATATATATATAGAACATCGTTAGTTTAAAAACGTTTATCTGTGAAGAATCGAAATCAATTCGCGTGTCACTATCACGAGCGTAACATTTTTCGTACCTTGTCATTTGCCCTCTAGAACGATGAGGAGTGGGGGTAGTTGGGGGTTGCAGCAATATCAGCTGTTCGACGTTTTGCATTCGAAGTCCACCTTTTACATTATTTCCCTAGCTAACGAACCATTAAACCGAGTCGTATTTTCCACCTTTTTTTCTCTCCCCCTTTTCTATTTCTCTCTCTCTCTCTCTCTCTTTCTCTCTTTCTCTCTCTTTCTCTCTTTTTCTTTCTTTCTTTCGTTCGTCACTGTCGTTCGCAACACGAGGAACACGAGGGAGTCCGTAACGAACGGGATTAAAACGTAAGATTACATCGTAAATTTAACTTCAATGGCATCTATCTTTCTAATCGTCGTCTAATCTCAAATCAATTAACAATATTAAAAATGAAGAATACACTAATATAAAATAATAATAATAATAATAAATAAAAAACAAATAACTTAACTAATATTTGAGTAGATGTTTTATTTTTTTATTATACACACCGTCACTTCTATCGTTATTTGTTAATAATTTTTTTAAATGGCAAATATAATACTATTATTATTATTATTATTATTATTATAAATAAATGTGAATAACGTGTTTGATATAATTAAAATTATTTGAATGATTTCTGATTTAAAAGGTCACCCACCAACCACCATCATCATCATCTTCACAATCATCACCACTAGCAACACCATTAACACCATCTTAACCGATCCATCTGATCGAACGATTCGCGGGAAAATAAAAAGAAACAAAGAAACGAAATAGAGAGAAATAGAGAATGAAAGAATGAGAGAGAATGAGAGAGAGAGAGAGAGAGAGAGAGAGAGAGAGATAGTAGGAGGAGAAAGGATCGGTCGATGCTCGCGCGCGCGCGTCCGAGACGACGAGATTCGTTGGTTGGTGGTACCTTAAAGAGAGAAGAGGAGGTGGTGGAAAAGGGGTAGAAGATCAACGACCGGCACCGAACGAAGAAATTTCTTCGACCGATATCCGGGCACCACCACCAGAACCACCAGAACCACCACCACCACCACCACCACCACCAGCTGCAGCAGCAACAACACCACTTTGACGAGTAAGAGTTTCGTCTTCGTTTTCTTCGTAACTGACTTTGAATTTTTTTTTTATCAACGAATAAAAAGACGTCATTTGTCATTTACACGTACTATCGTATCGATGACACACATATAATTAATAATATTAATTAATAATAATATTTTTTGTTTATATTTCATCTTGAACGAATGTACGCACGATCTCATACCACGATGATTTTTGTTTGGTTTCGTTGCTTGTTTTGTTTGATTTTTATTTTGTTTTTTTTGTTTTTTAATTTTATCGATGATAGGAATATTTTGTCGCATGAATATCACTCATAATGAAAGATTCGTTTTGTTCTTTTATCCTATATGGGATTTTATTTAATTACATATTTTTTTGTTCAAATGTTTAATTTAATATACACGATTGATGTGATGATGTTGCTCACACAACTAACACGGCCGGAATGAACTGTGGGTGGTCGTGAATAGTCGTCGAAGCTTTCCCGCTTTCCACCGACACCACCACCCTTCAACCCTCTACCATCTCTACCATCTCTACCACCACTACTACCACCACCCACTAATATTACCACCCTCCGAAAGCTTGCTTTACGGTGGTGGCGCCTCTATCTTTACCATAATACGAGAAGGTGGTGGTGGTGGTGGTGGTGGTGAAAGTGATGGTGGTGGTGAAGCTCTAGGATTTTATCTTTTATTTTATTTCATTTTATTCTCTCACTTTCTATTATCTTCTCTATCGGCACATCTTTACGATTTCAAAAGTTCCTCCATAGGTTTCTTTTTTTTTTATCAATTTGACATTTTCTTTTTACATTTTCAACCCTTATTATTATCATTGGTCTCTGACCAAAAAGTAAACCTTTTATTTGAGTTCAATTTTGTTTTTTTTTTTTTTTTTGATACATTTCATATTCTTTGGTTGTATATTTTATTCATTATTCATCCCCCCATCGTGTGTAATCTTTTTTATTTATTTATTTTTTTTTTTTTTTTTATTACTGTATTCAATTCTTACACGATATCTCAAACATCAACTCTCATTCTTTTTTTTCCCACCCTTTTTCATATGTACATATATATATATAGATGTTTAAAAATATTCATTGTACTGAAATCTTGTTTCTTGTTTTTTCTTTTTCTTTTTTTACTTTCAATCAATTTTCCAATATAAATCGAGTTACGAATTAACCCAGAGCTAATATAAACGTGAAGTTGTGTAAAATACGATAGGGATATTTTTTTATTAATCATTTTCTTACTCACGCGTATACAGAAAATTACATTTTAGCAATAACAAAAAACAAATATTGAATGAATGAATGAATGATCTATCAACGAAGCTTCCAAAGAGAATATTTCGAAGAAAAAAAAACAACATGCTCGACTAAGTGGCAATTTATTGTTATAATACTTTATTTTATAAAAATAAAGTACGAGGAGCGTGCGAAAGTAAGGTAACAAAATTATATACGCGAACACGTGCTGCATCGAAATTATTTTTATCTCTCGTTTCTCTATATGTCCTAGGGTGTAGAAAGCTGTCGTCTGTATATCATCCGTTATTAATCGTGAAAAGTTGTACTTTTTTTTTTTTTTAACCTTTTTTTTTCATCCCATAAGCGTGTTGCATTTTTTTTTATATCGTATATCTAAAAGCCAGTGATAAAATACATTTAAAAGTATCCCTATATTACGACCTTGGATATCAAAAATATAATAAAATTACAAGACAAACGACCCTTAACATGATCTGCCTACTTTTATCATATATATATATATATGCGTTTATTATATTTAGATATATATTATATATTTTATATAATTACATTATGTAATTATTTATTATATTATAATAAATAATATATACTATAAAGATATATATAGTAATATTATTAATAATATTAATTAAAATTATTTAATTTAATTATAATTTATAATTATAATTAATATTATATAATATACAATTATAATTAATAATTATAAATATAATTATATTATTAATTACAACACTACAAACAATTATACAAATATATTATTAATTATATAATTAATTATAAATACTATTAATTATTATATATAATTTTATTTATAATTATTAATTTAAATTAATATTATAAATAATATTAATATATAAATATTTATATATAAAGAAAAGTATATTTTCTTTCGTTCGAATTTGCCGCGCACCCCTAAGAAGATGCATAGAGTGATCGATAGAAATCGATTAATCAATCGATCAAATCAGTGATTGACAGCTACAGAAACAGATAGATAAAGTGAGATAAATAATATTATAATAATAAGAAAATTAATAAATAATTAATTTGTATGATTAATTAAACTATTGTACATAGAAATGAGCCAATAATAATTTTTAATTGTCGTTTTATCAGACAATTATAAAACGAGTTTTATGGAATGATAATTATCAAATTTGTTTCCCTGTAAATAGAGGTTAGGTTTTCTTAGCCATTTACAATCGTGAATTTTATTATATACAATTTACCTATAAATAAAGAAACGATAAATATATGTATATATATAATTATATAATATTTGGTGAAACGGTAAGTAATGTTGCTTTCTAACCTGAAATTCAAACAAATACATTTTTAACAAAGTTTTTGTTTTTAATCGATAACATAATTAACCCTTGTTATCGACAACCTTTTTTCATCTAGTATGCAAATTTTTAATATCTGACAGATAAATAAATATATATATATGTATATATCAATCGGTTTTGATTATAATATCAAAATTGATATGCGTATAAACGACATTACCTTCTGGGTTCCCTATATAGTATAATATAATATTTTATATATATATATATATATATAATAGAGAATATAATATGGTATAATATAATATAATAATAATATAATATTATTAATATTAATAATATATATTTATATATTTGTTACTATCTAGCTATCAACAGATTGACTTTTTCTTAACGAGATACTACTACAGTAACAATAGTAAATTAGAATCTGTAGTTTATAACAATAGATAAAATGGACTTTGTTGAGCATTGGAAGGTATACAGCATGAGAGTAAATTGAGCCCACACGCATACATAGGATTCGTACGAATCATTTATCGTAAACAGATGCATCATCGTGATTGTATCATGTGTTTCCTGTATCGAACTACCTCGTTAAAATAAGGTCGCGTTCTACTAAACGATACCGTTAAATTTACTTCATTCTGGAAAATCGATTCGTACGTGCCATTCGCTTATACTATAACTCGTTTCTACGATTCCAATGTGTGGTAACGACCCAGAGTTTTTCTTTTCTTTTCTTCTCTTCTTTTCTTCTTTTCTTTTAAATTTCATTTCTTCACCGTCTTAGAATCGATTCTCGTTCTGAGGAATATGTAACTTCATACGATTTATTCTCAAACTCGAATACTCGTTATCTGTGTTCTCATTTTATTGTATTTCTCTTTTTTTTTTTTTTTTATATTCTTTCTCTATATGTTCTTGTAACCACATATTCCTGATAAACAATATTCAAGAAAAAAGAGAGGTACATTGCATTGCAAAATGGGAATAAAAGAAAAAGAAAATGGTATTCACATCGTTAGTAGGAATAATATAAAATACAAATGTATATTTTTATAAATAATACAAATAAATAATATCAAAAATGTACCAAGCCCCAGATGAAAGGGAAGGGTAGCAACCTAATCTTGGTAAAAAAAATAACTCCCAGTACTAACAAAATAGTTTCTTTAGGTTGTTTAACTAAGGTTGCGTCAGGATTTCGTCAGGGTTTAAGTGAGGGTTATATTAGGGTTACGACAAATTTACATCAGGGTTTGTTTCAGCGTTTGCTTGAATGTTGCAAATTTCTAAGAATAGAAAGAAGAAGAATAAGAAGACATATGAAAAATCTTGATTACAATTTATAAATTTATCGTACAGATGCCATTTTGATTGAAATATTACATTTATTTAAGAACTTACTTCAATCAACATTTGATTAATAATAATTTATAATATACAGTTTATCGATATATTTTAGTAGTAACAATGAAAAAGTTCTTACCTATAATATATATACGATCGTAAGATTAAAGACTGTAATATAACTGTTATAGTTTAATCAAGATTTATTTGAGTCAATTGATGTCTCAGATAATAATGGTTTGGTATTCGACCTAATAATTCTGAAAATATTCGATAAAAAGAGTTTAAAAGCTTATGTTATGATGGTTACTATTATTATTTGTTATCGATTGGATTATATTCTAGGTTTGAAACTTAAAAAAAGATTTTTATATTAGACACACGTATAAATATACATCCGATGGCTGCGATAAAACGCGAGTTTCTCGAGGAAGAACCGTACTTTGTGTTGCTTGATGAAATTTAATATGAAAGAAAACGTAAGGGTTAAAAATAAAAGGAGATGTATGTGTGTGTGTGTGTGTGTGTGTGGTAGGATACTCTCAAGCACGTTTAAAAATCGAATCGAAGCGTCTTTTCGTCATCTTTTTTCTTTTTTTTTCTTTCTTTCTTATCTATACGAACAAGAAGGAGCAACTTTTAAAGGAAAAAAAAAAAAAAAAGTACTTTCAAGCTTAGGAAGACCTACTACTATTACGTGCTCTTAAATTTTCGAGGCCTTGATTTTTTTTTTCGTTTTTTAGTATACGAAACGTGTATGGAATAATTATATTTTTTAAGAAATAGTTTTTTTTTGTTTTTTTTTTAAATTTAACTAGTTCATCATTGATGTTTTTAGTGCTATGGACGTATATATGTGTTTGGTAAAAAATTACTAACCTTATTTGTTCAAAACAAGTACGTGTTTGTTAATATTTATATTAATTAATTAAATTATATTTTTAAAAAACACACAAATACTTTAATTATTAAACATAATTTATTATTATAATACGATTAATAATAAATTATACAGTTCTTACAAAACATTTTTGGTAAAAGTATTTAGCACTCACAGGGTTAATATGAAAAAAACATATATATATATATATATATAACAAACAAACGTTAGTTCAATTTTTCGTCACTAGGAGTAACTTTTTAAAATGGAATATACAAATTGCCATCATGTTGACAATAGTTCAAAAGTAATTCAATTAATGAATTTGTTCAAATTATAAATAATTTATTATATTATTTTATTTTCAAAATGGACAAAATTTTCTGGTTAACCTCATATATATATATATATATATATATATATATAGAATAAATAATTTCATCTTATGTATCAAGACAATTTAATAAGATATAAATTTTGATGTGTAGTTAAAACCACTTAGGAATTGGGTCGACAAAGGGTAACGATGGGCTCGTCGTCGTCATTAAAGCGACAGCAATTACGAACACTTGTAGTAGCATCCTGGTAGTAGTGGTGGTAGTGGTGTATAAGGGTAAGCATTGGAGAAATGGACGCGTGATTAGTGACCGTGAAAGATCAACGAGATCGTACGTGACAATTCGTTAGATCCTTGTTATTACAAATCTAACCTTTAATTAAAGTACAATTAGTGTTACCCACGAGGAGAGCTTTAAGACTCTCCAAGCTTTTAGTAGTAAAAGGAAAATATAAGACAATTTAAATGGATATTGAATTTGAAATGATTTCTTCTTCTTCTTCTTATAATTTCTTCTTATAATTTGATAACGATTCAATCTTTTGTTGATCAAATTGTATTATCAATACCGAGATGCCAATAAAAAGAAATAAAAGAATCTTGAATCTGAATGTGTTAAAAAAAAAAAATAAAAATTGATAAATGCATATATGCATCTTAAGTACATACAGATAGCTTTTGCTAAACGCATATATGCGTCCATAACATTGAAAGGATTTTATTTAATTTTGTTATAAGATAATAATCTTTGTAAATAATATAAAGTGTATGAATTTATATCTTTAGTTATTTTTAGAAACTTTGATTTTATTTTTGTAATTTTTAAAAGCCCGCATTTTTTTCGTACAGGACACTGCCACTCATAAATTTGTCACTGTTAAAACGGCAAAACACAATTGTATCAAATTGTTTTACAATTCTTTCAATAGAACAATATTACATAAACAATATTATATAATTATAAACATTTGTTTCTTAATTTTCTTACAATATAACTGAAAACAACTTGACTCACATAGTAACTGATTACCATTACCGGTAGAAACTTGTATTTATAATTTTAGACTGTAGATGGTGCAAGCGTAGTTTTATCCCACATGGTAACAAATGTCTACGGTGTTTCTTGATCGACAGTGTTACATAAACCGTGTTATGATATTAAATTAAAAATTCAATCAATTGATAAGTAAAGTAATAAAAAAATGATGTTAAATAAGAAAAATATAATTCATATTATTTAATCTTGATAATTATTATTGACAAATGTAATTTTTTTGTTGGTTTTTCACATGATCATTCAGGGAATTCCCTATAAAAGGACACTTCTTCCAGATATTTATTTTTGGTATTTCAGTTGTTAAAATTTCTTCTTATATGCAGATCCTGATTGGTCATTTTGAAGAATTCTACTTTTATCTTCCTAGAAGATACAGGTCCAGTGATTTCTTCTCTGATCTTAAATTACAAACTTGGAATTGTTCAAATATGCTTATAGTATACTAATTAATAATAAACGATATTATGTTTTTTTTTAACTTGACTATCTTAAATTTCATTTCTTGTTTTTTTTTATATTAATTAGATTAGAATATTATGTTATAAATTAAAAATGTTATTTTACATGATTTATCCTACCTAACGTATCTTTATGTATCTTTCTTTTTCTTTTGTTTCTTTCTGTTACTGAATTTCACTACAAAGCGTTCTTATAGTTTACAACGTTTGGTAACAAGAACTAAAGTAAATAATACTTTACATTTTTGTTGTTTCTTTTCATTTGTACTATTTTATATATTGTAACATTATGTTTTTCATTTACGCATTGCTGTTAATATGCACAACAAAATCATATTTTACAAATATGCAGCATATTTTGTAAAATTGTGTTTAGCCAATATGAGGATATATTATTATTATTATTACAAAGAGAAATAATTAATGAATTAATTGTTTAAATAATTGGCCCAAAAAAAAAAAGAAAAAGAAAGAAATAAACAGACCCTTGAGAAATGGAATTGACAAGATTTACGTGTTTATTCTTAACTGTAACAGTATTAGTGTATGGAAATGTGAATGTAAACAAAAGTGTTAGTTGTCAACTTGATACAACTGAACGTAAACAAATGAATGTTGAACCAATAAATGGAACATGTTTACGTGATATTGTTTTACAATTGTCTGATGTATTTCTTTCTATTACTAAAGAGGAACTTGGTATACCAATTTTTCTACAAGTACTTGACAATTTAGAATTTTCAAATGTCACTAATAATGTCGAATGTACATTGAATACATTAGTAAAGAAATTAAATAACAAATTATTATCTCATATTGATCTATTAAAACAAAGTAATCAAATAATAGAACCTATTTTATTAAAAAAACAAATTTTATCTATTTATAATGAAGAAGAAGAAGAAGATGAGAACAATATTAAAAATAATCAAAATAAAGCATCAGATATATGTTCTGATATTACAACAGGTATGTCTTCTTTAATATAAAATATTAAATATAAAGATAAATACAATATATATATATATATGTTTTAGAATTAACTACAAAATTGAAGGATCAAGGATGGAAAAATTTACATGTATTACCATTGTATCCACCAGCAAGAATATGTGGTCCACCTAGTTTGGTACATAATATTGGACCATTATTGTTATCTCGACATTGTTCAGCAAAAAATATTATTTTATTATTAGAACATGGTACATTTGTAACAGAAGAAGATCTTATTTTGATTCAAATAACTGCCAAAACAATAATTGATATGTTATCTGAGAATGATTATGTTACTGCAATTGGTCTTGCTGGAAATGGTTTTGTATTTTGTAAAGATGGTCTTATGAAAGCAACTGATATTAATAAATATCAATTAGGACGTCATATTGATAGTCTTATCAGAAAAGGTAAATTCATTGAGAAATAGTTTTAATTAATAATACGATATATTATGGTAATTGTATATAAACAAAAAAGAAACCAACATTGTAGGAACCAATCAGAGTATAAATATTGATTTGAATGCATTGACACAAAATATACAAGGAGAAGTCATTCTTTTACATTTGACTAATACTTTAAAAGATCCATCTAATGCACAAGAGATTTTACAAAAATTATCAGATTTGCAATTAATTACATATTGGAGAACTATACTTGTTCTTTCAGGTATACTATAATTTCATATTTATATATTTAATATGAACATATATTAATTAATATTAAAACTGATTTATATTGTAGATCAAGGAAAATATATCAGTATTAAAGATACATTAAAAAATGACAGTATTATAACTCTACCAACTCAAAATATTCTTGGATTTGAAATATCAAGATTATTCTCTGGTATAAAATGTTCCCATAATGAGATAAAGGAATATTATCTCTCAGATCCATATTTTGAGCCATACAATAAAATGATGTCCACGTCTATTGGATTAATTACAAATAATACATTATTGTATTTAGATGTAACGTTAAAAGATTTTCTAGATGATTTAACATACCTTAATATTGGTCCAAATGCTTACGCCATATTATTTGATAATAAAGAAATAGTATGGATTCATAAAGATTTTCCACGAATGGAAATGATAATGGAACAACCAATTAAAGTATATTTACAAGATATTGAAAATATAAGTAACGAAATTGTAACGAAAATGATTAAAAATGACGAAGGTCTTATTGAAGTTCAAATTGATGAAAATAAAAAGGTAGTATTATATTGAATTGATTATTTTATAAATAACAAATAGAGAGAGAGAGAGATTATATCTTTTATTTCTTTTTTTTGTTATTATTACAGAAAAGATATATATGGAAACATTTAACATATAAAGATTTAATATTGTGCTTGGTATCTATAAATGATGAAATAACGGTATCTATAATAAAAAATATACCAACGTTATCGAAAAATTTATTATACCATTCTCATGATCTTATATCACATGGTACTATCAACAAAGATGTATTGTGCGTTCATCAAAATAACATCGTAGCATTATGTAAGAAAAATACTATCATTTATTCATTTATTATTGGCTGATAAAAAAAAAAAGTATTTATAATTGTACATAAAAAAAATGTCATTAAATGTTTAGCTAGTGGAGTGGTATATCTTTCACCATGGTGTTTCCAATCTCCTATGGAACAACTTAAATTATTAGAAACAAATTCAGGTGTAACTGTACAAAGTTTTATGGCATATATCAAAGATTTGACAGGATTGCTGGCTAATCCAGGTTTACATCATTCTGTTAGACCAGATGTTGTAACATTAAGCAAAGCTTTAGAACATTTTCAAAAAAGACATATAGAAAGTTCAATTAATAAATTTATTATTAGAAGGTATATATATATATATATATATATTTACAAATATATTTGATATTGATGTCTCTTTATCATGTTACATATTTAATTTATCATTTTAGATATATTATTGCTACTACCAGCGGTGCTTTGGAAGTATTTCCAGGAATAATTATAGATTCTGGTTTAGATCCAAAGCGTAGAACTTGGTATAAGAAATCTTTAAAGTATCCAGGAAAAGTTGTTTTTACTGGACCATATTTAGATGCTGGTGGTTCAGGCTATGTTGTAACATTAAGTCATACAATTCAACATTCAATGTATGGGAATAATAATGATGACACAGTTATAGCAGTAATGTCAATGGATGTTACAATGGGATATATCTCTAGACTTCTTATAGAAATGTTTCCATTTTGTAAAGATTCAGCGATGAAGTGTTTTTTAATGGACGATATGGGCTATTTGGTATCTCATCCATCATTATTACAACCAACGAGTAAAGTTGAACAACAACATTTAACGCATAAAGAACAATTAATTGCCAATGACATATTAAATCAAGAATATTTTGTAAAGAAAAAGACATGCGCTAATTACTTGGATGGCACTGTACAAAGATATTATCATTTTAACACTTCTTTACATGAAGTTTTAACAAATACGGTACACGGAGAACACTGTATAAAATATCAAATAGCTGCAATACCTAATACTAACATATTTCTTGGAATTGTTAATGTTACATGCAACTCTTCAAGAGCTTTTTGCCCATGTAGCACAGTAAGTTTGTAATAATTGTTTTTTTAATTCAATCATCATTTTGTCTTAATATTTTATTATTTTATAATAAATATATTTATTTTTCATAGACAGATCGTTTATGTTTAAACTGTCGAAGAATGGAACAAACTGAATGCGAATGTCCATGCGAATGTTCCTTGTATTCTTCAAGTTGTGTACAGCATAAAATTAACTTAGAAGCATGTCCACCTCCATCCGAACAAGTTGTACATTTACCACATTCTTGGTCATTGCATTTAAATATTAAATCCTGTCCCTCTTTCGATTGTAAAATATTTAAAACAGAGGAAGAATGTTTGGGTATTGTAGGCTGTCAATGGTGTCATGTTGATATTGACGGTGTAACTTCTTTGCAAAATCCATTTTGTTCTGATATGTTTACATGTTTTAAAGGCAGCTTTGGAACTCCAATACCTTACAATGATGAAACTCATGGTGATTATATATAATAATATATGATTGTATAATATTTATTAAAACATATATATATGTATATTATAAAATTACATATATATTTGCAGATTCTCAATCAGCAGAAGAAATTGTAGTTCGTGAATTTTCATCAGTTGGACCAGTCGCAGGTGGCATACTTGCTTTTATCTTAATTTTAGGTGTTACGTTGTGTTGTTATAGGTTACGCTCTATGCAATCTGATTTGGAACATCAATGTTTGCATATGCAAATTTCACCTGACGTTTTACATATGACACATTTAGAAGGTGATGCAGAACCTTTGGAACCTGACCAAACAAAACATAATTTAGATTCTTTTATAAGAGATGCTATTGCACCTATATCACCTTATAGAGTTTCAACTAATTATAAGAGACCTGGTGGGGATAGTGATCATGGTTACAGTACTATGACACCTCATGATGATTCAGAACAACAGATATTTACAGAACCAATGTTAATTGTTAGTTCTAATGTCGAATTTAATAATACGAAACGATCTAACAGTTTACCAGCGCCAACAACAAATTTAGGGCCTTCACATTACATTTTAGCACCTGTTACTGTTCATAGTAACATGGAAACAAATTGTTGCTAAATTAATCTATTACATTATCTTAATCATCTTATTAACATACTTTCATTATCATTGCCATTAGTATAAATATTAAATATTAAGTATAACAAAGACTATCCTCAAATTTCATATGTTTTACAATATATTGCAATTACTTGCCCAATAAGTTTTAATGAATATTTTTGAAACTTTTTGAAAAATATACTATTTATACAGTTTATAAGTGACAATTTTCATATTAAATAACTTTCTATTATAAATATATATATATAACAATTGATATTTTTCTATCATTATTCACTTTTTGAAACTTCATTTTTCAGGGAATTTTCTAATGTCATTAAATATTAAAACTCTCATTTTTTGGTTTCTTTTTTATCTATTATATTTAATTAATACAAGAAATAATATTACATATATATATAAATATATATAATTATATACAAATTATATACATAGAATACTATTTTATCAATGTTTATTATATTTATACAAGAAACTATTTTTTCGTATGAAATATTTGAAAACAAGGAACAACACACAATCCAACATCACATTCTTCACACTGATAACGAGATTCACGTCTTTTATCATTTTTACTGCAAACAACGCATCTTCGTAGTTTATTTTTTCCTAATGATGTATACTGACTTGGAAAGTGTCTTCCTATTAGTCTTAACGAATTAATATCACTACAGTCTGTAGATTTCATATATTTCTTTTGTATTTGATTGGACAATTTTAAATGAAACTTTTCCATAGATATCATTTTATGGGTTTTAGATTTGTATAAACAATAAGCATTGAGTAAGCATAAATCTATAATGTCGTCATATGTTTCTTCAGATTCTGAAGTACTCAATACATTTCGTAACTTTTTCTTCGGGGATTGTTCTACATTTGTAGCTAATTCATTTTCATCACAACTATCCGAATCAATTTGTTCGTTTTCATTTACAGTTCGTCGTTTCTTCAAATTCTTATGCTCCATCTGAAATATTTGTTTTATTAACAACAAATCAATTTAATAAAATTCAGAATAAATAGGTCATTGTGTTAATAATAAAACTTACGAATTTTTTTACACTTCCTTTTTTTTCTTTTTTTTTCCTTACTGATTTAACCTCTTTTAATGTCAACGTCGACTATAATCGTCACCAAGCTTTGAATAACAATTTCACACAACCTATAACAATTGAATTTCAACTGTATAAAATCATACTAAATTATATTGATAATTGTTGTTCATCAAAATTAGTTAAGAATTATGCCAGATACGGTTAAAGGCGTATTCACTGTTTTCGACATTTTTTTCTTTTTTTTTTTCATGAAAAATTAATTTTGCACAGTGGCGCCCCATGAAATTTATGATTAAAGACAACCCTCTCTCTCTCTCTCTCTCTCTCATTTCTATTACTGATTTTCATATACACATTTGAGTGACATGTACAAAATTATAAAATAATAAATATTATTTATAAAAATTTATTCTCGAATGTAAGTTTAATAAATTATATTGAAATAACATGAATGGAGGTTAGGTTTGAGTTAGCTAATGACGGATATAGTCGGATATAGCCACTCAATCATTTTTTGTTTCATTGTATTTTATTAATAATAGAAAATAATAAATAAATATATATGTATAGGTCTTGAAATTGAATTTTATTGGAACACTGGGATGCAGGTTTGAAGTCATATGAAATTTATTTAGAAATTAATCATTAAACTTAATGTAAAACATTTTATTTCATTTCAGCATTTCATCAAAGTTAAAATTAGAATAGCAATAAAATTCATTAGCTAAATTATTTTTATGCTTTGGCAGGAAATCACATTTTTTAGCATTTAATAATCTGTCAACTAAATCCATCATAATCGCACCTATACAAATAAAATAAAATTATTTTATATATATATATATATATATATACAATTTTTTGGTATAATAATTATAATATCAATCAATACCTGTACAAAGTACTATTTTGTTCTTTGACAATAACTTTATTGTCATGGCTGTTTTTGTTAAACATTCATCCGATAAAAATGGAGGATCTGCTATGACTAAATCAAAACTATTGTATAAATCTCTTGGTATATTTAAAGGAAATTTATAATCATATGATATAAAATCTGATCCAAATACTGCAAAACGTGAATCATACTCTAAAAGAGTAACTGTCAAAAAAAAAAAAGAAAAAATGGATAAATATTGTTGCTTATTTTTTTATAGGTTATATATAATCTAATATACATTATAAACAAAATATATATATATATATATATATACCTTGTCTTTCTTCACAAATTCTTTTTAATGGTATATATACAGTTGGACAAGAAATTAATGCTATTTTTCCATTTACAGGAGTTGATTTTAAAGCACCTTTGACAATCGTATTTGTTGTATTGTCATCATACCAAAATTGACTTAATTGCTAAAATAAAATAATTTATAAGAAAACATAATCGCAATATATAAAATTGTTTATATATTTTCAAATGATTGTCGATCAATTACCCAATCTTCTTCAAATGATACATGTTGTAATTGATTTGATTGAAATACATTTGCCAATTCTTTCTCTCTCTTTTCTTTTTCTTCAAGAAATTCTCGTAATGCGGATATTGTCGTAGGACATAATGATGGTTCATCGTCATTATCACTCATTTTTTGTCATTTAATTGACTAAATATTTTTCTAATCTATTTATACAATGTAAACATTGAGTATTTAATTGTATGCATATACATATGTACATATATATAAAAAAAAAACAACGGTCAACTAATCGATAGTAATCGATCGATCAATCGATCAATCATAACTGACAGGACACGATTTTAAATGACAATTTATTATTAATCAATTAATTGATTTCTTTTAAATAATTGTAAATGTAAAGTGAAAGTGTAAAAATTCAATTTTTATCATCTAACGTAGCCTTGTCATTGGTTGAATCGTTTGAATCGTTTTTTGGACAAGTTTGGCGTTCAACCTGCACTCTGGTGGCTGTGTACTAAGTTAAGTGTCACTGCAGTAGTTTTTAGTACTATCTAAAATGTAATTTTTTAATAAGTGAATCTCTAATATCGAGGATTTATACGGCACGTTTAAATTGATTATATTGAAAGAATTGGTAATTATATTTATAGATAAGGAAAAACTGACAGTTCAATATTTTTGTTATTTATTAATTATACGATAAAACTCATAATTATGTTAAATTGGTTTGTATGTAACGTTCGATAAAACAAAAAAAAAGAGAAATTGACGTTCTTTTTTCTTTTTTTTTTTTTATTAAAAAATATTACAGATGAAGTCTGAAAAAGACAAGTGGAATGATCAAATACACGCCATCTGATGGATTTCCTTGTTAATCAAACTGTCCAAGGTAACGATGGGAGTTGTTTCTTCCCCTCCGTTATAATACCACCAGCCTTACGTGTTGCGAAAGAGGACACACGATGGAAATTGTAAACATTTACGTGTCTTGAGTGTTTAGAGGGACAATTTTTATTTGTAATCATGATAGACAGTAACATTTCCATGGAGGAGGATACTGAATTACGAGATTTAGTGGTACAAACTCTTGAAAATAATGGTGTTCTCGCTAAAGTCCGGGTAAGATTAGAATAATAAGAAAATAATAATCTTATATAGGTTATACAACAGACCATGCCTATCATTTAAAATATCTTTTATGTCAATCTTATGTCATAGAATTTGTTTGCGATTTTGTAGGCTGAATTAAGGGCTAGTGTGTTTTTAGCTCTGGAGGAACAGGAATCTGTAATGGTAGGTAAGAACAATGTTGCATTGTATTATTGATTATATTATATTTTATTTTATTAACAGAAAATATAATTTTTAATGATATTAGTTAATATCAAAGTTATCAATTAAAGTAATGATATTTGTTTTTTTTTTTAGAATCCAGAACCCCTCCTCAACAAAACAGTAAAACAGTACCTGGCTAATTCCGAAGGAAAATTACTATTTTCATTGGTTAGGGAGTTCCTAGAATATTTTGGTCTGGATTATACTATATCTGTATATGATCCAGAAACGTATATTGGAAAAGAATATAACTATGTCGGTAGAAATAAGTTATGTGAAGAATTGGGTATTAATTCGTCAGAACCATTACTTGGTGAAATTTTAAAGAACAGCATGAATATCTGTAACATAACACAAAAGGTATTTCATTAGAATTTATTTGAATAATATATAATAAGTATATATATATATATAAACTTTTGAATCAATTAGTATATAATTATTATAGGTGGAATCTAATGATAGTAGACATAATAAAACAAATGAAACATCAACAAACTTTGCAAATGCAACCTTTGAAGTTCCTGTACCAAAAATTCTACATAACGAATCGTTATCAAATGACAATGATTCATCTGAGAAACTTGTTAGTTTTTCTGAACAAAGCACTAGTATTCCAATAAATGTGACAATAACTGAGAAAAAGAAAACTATGCAAACATTACACAATGATTTATTAAATGAGTCACATGACAAAGAAGACAATTCTCTCAGGGAAAATATAATAGTTTTTGACAACGTAACTGACAATGACGGTATTAATGACAAAGGGAACAATATACATTCTGATAAAAGTCCTATAAAAAGAAACGACACGTACGAAGTAATAAATCATACATTAAAAGAAACTGCCACAATTGCACCTGGTCAAACTGATATGTTCAATAAAGATGGACCTTTTATTACATTTGATGAATCTATAGTAGTATCTGAAATGCAACAAAATCAAAATGTGAATGTTACAAAACAAAATAGTATAAATAACAAAGAACTACATATTATGAATAATGTACAAAATAAAAAAGATATTAATATAGAATGTAACTTTGGAAAAGCTATTTACTTTGAAGAAATAATTGTTGACGAAAAAAGAGACAACGTTGCTACTGTAAATAATAAAGCTGAATCTTCATCTTTACCTTTAGATAAGTCTGGTTCTATATTTGATTTGCCACCATTAAACGGGAAAAAAACTAATATAAATGATATCAAAGAATTAATGGATGTTGGACTTGGTAAGGGGAAAAAATAAATCAACATATTTCTTATAACACAATACAAAAGATAATATAATTACATATATATATGTATCAATTATATTTATAATATAATTATTTTTCATTGTTTCTGACTTTAGCATTGGATAATGTTGATAATTATGAAGAAGATTTTGTGTCATCTGCATCGGGTAGTTTTAATGAACAGAGTCCGTCTAAAGAATTACAAGAATTGGACAATTCTTTACAAGTACATGTGAAAAAGGAAGATACAATCCAAAGTACTCGTAGTGAGGACATCAGCGAAGAAATAGAAGAAACTGATGAAATACTGAGTAGTACTTCGTGCGTAAGTAAAAACAAAATACACATTACATATTTTTACATATTTTTACATATTCTTTTTTTTTTGATTACATTTAATAAATATTTCATAGGATAATAATACTATAGCATTTGTTCAGAATATAATAATTCATGGAAAATGATATGAATATATATTTTCTTGACAAACAAATATTTTCATTTATAACATTAAACACATCAATTTTAATACTTCTTCTTTCTTTTTTTTTTTTTTATATATATGACAATTATTCGTTTGTGTTATACAAACATTCTATAAGGATTTATCTATTCAGAATAATTTTAATTTCAGCTTCAGGGTGTGAATATTAATGAAAAGGATGACAAAGTTTCACATTTCACAACGGGTATTACAACAAATTATAGCAATGAGATATAATCTTAATCGATATTATTATTATTATTATTATTATTATTATTATTATTATTATTATCATAATAATAAGATTCTATTAAGAATCGTTAATACTTTATTCGATGATAATTTTGAAACAAGTGTTGTTTCTCACATTGTAGTAGTTGCTTTACAACGATAAGAATGTTATTTTGTTGCGCATAGTAATGCTAGAGTACAGAAAGAAGTACTGCTTTCGGGGGAGGGGGGAGAGAGGTTTAGGGGAGGGGGGAAGGGGAGGAGGAGAGCAGGGATTAATATCCTATACTAAAGGCATCATATGTGTTAAGACTATGCTGATTATTATGGATTGAGAAACTTAATGGATTTATTTAACAGTTTTTTAATAAGGCACTGCCAGCTATGGCTGAGAATACTTATTATAAGTCGCGCTGCAAAAAATCATGGAAGGAAAATGCCCTTCTTTATCGTGCATTTTTCTATTCAATTTGCATTTAACTATTTTAAATATAGAATTAAATGAATGTATTTTTCTACATTTTATAGATTTTAAGAAAGGAAATGTAATTTTTATTATAAAACAACAACCAATAACAACAACAACAACAAAACAAACAAACAAACAAAACAAAAGGGAGAAGAAACTATTTAAGTTTAATGACCGATCTAAACATATATATATATATATATATATATATATACTTTTGGAGCTGAATGATAATAATACAGTCAAAATGAAACGAAGTAATAGAAAATATAATATATTACAATTATATTAATTAATATTGAAATCTATGTCTATATTAGAAAAACAAAACAAAAACATATTAGCTCTTTAAATAGGCTCTGTTAAAATAGTAATAATAAACAAAATTCTGTAATATTTATTGATAAATCTGTAGAATCTTTTAATTTGGTTTAAAAAAAAAAGAAAAAACAAAGTATCAATTTGAAATAGATGAAAGATTTTTAGTAAAAATGATGACTGGATAATTACAAAATACTTGTTACATTATTTTGAGACTGAACAGTATATATTTTCAATTAACAACTTGATCTATTTAATTTTTTTTTTTTTTTTGTAAAAACAACAACAAATCACACACATCAATTTTTTTGGGGGGTGGGGGGGAAACATGATTAATAATTAATGTCAAGAATATTACAATAACAACAACAACAAAATATATATATATATATATGTATATATATCTGTGTCTTAAAGATGACGACGTATGGTTGAAATGGAATTTTTTTACTTCGTACACATGAATATATACGTAATTTCACGTCATGAATTGTTAAAATGAAAAAAAAAAAGCAAAAAAAAAAAATAGATTTTAATATTGCAATAGTAGTAAAAAAAAAAAAAAAAAAGACTTCAATGATGGAGGTACATAGTATGAGGCAATTTTCCTTCTATGTTATACGTATGTGCCTAGTATTATTATTATTATTATTATTATTATTATTATTATTATTATTATTATTATACTTATGAGCAACTTATATAAGTGTTACAATATTTCAAGGACCAGGAAATTATTGATTGAGTTATTATCAATTAATTAATTAATTAATTAATAACGAGATCAATTTTATTTTTTTTTCTTTTGTTAAAGAAAATAATTATTCTGAAGTATTTGATCGTTGTTTTTGTTTTTTGTTTTGTGTGTGTGCTTATTGACAGAAACAATTTCCTGTGTCGAAATTTTATGACTGAATATATATATATATATATATATATATATATATATATATTATATGTATATATATATATGATTCACATTACCTCATTTAATTAAACATAGATGCTGCGATTATCTGTAATATCAGTAAAAANAATCACATCCGTCTAATAATGGATTGCCTAAAAAAAAAAAAAAAACAAACAAACAAACAAACAAATCCGTCAAATTATTTTTTTGATAACAATGGTGCTAAATATTTGAAACTAAAATAATTTATGAAGGTTGAAGAGCTATTATTCAAGAAGAAGAATAAGAAGATGATGATAAAGATGAAGATGAAAATTTAGGTGCTTATCTATCATCTAGCAACAACTGTTTGCAAGAGATTTTAGTAATTAACAAAAGTTCTAGGATAGGATCTGAATTTTTTGGGCAATCCAATAAAATACAATGAAGAAGAATATTTAATATGGAAAAGTTTGCTCTATGTATGTATGTATGTATGACGCAATAACTGAGTACAATTCAAAATGGATTGACAGCAGGATTGATGCTTGACAAATCAAAATCCTTTTGTAAAAAAAAAAAAATGAAAACAAACAAAGAAAGAAAGAAAGAAAGAAAAACAAACAAACACGTAGCTTGCTATATTTACAAAAGAATTTTCATTAACAGCTAAAAATCTGATAATAATATCACATATGCTAAAATGGCATAGTTCATTCAGACAAAGAGATTGTGTATGCTTGTATAATATGTATCATGTATAAATTTGATTATTATATAGTCATTAGATTATTCCAAATAATATATATATATATATATATATACAGAACTTTTAACAAACTTCCATGTACACTTCGTGTACAATTAGGACATTTTTTTTTTTGTACTAACATGTACAAACGAATATTTCTTTTTTTTTTATCTTTTTGTTTAATCAAAAATGATTTTATTACATTAGTAAAAATTATTCTATGAAAAAAAAAACAAACAAACAAACAAATCATATAATACTATGTAACATATCTCTTAGTCTGAATCAACATTAATCCCCAGTATATGATCATTAAAATCAGCAGGTGTGTTCCTGGCCAATCAGCGTGGTTACATCTTGTTATCAGTATAATAATAGTATACAGTTTAATGAAATAATTCAAATCAGGACTGGTTTTAAACATTCCCACATTCTATAAGGATATTATAAAGAATTAGTATATACACATTCCATTATTGTTATTAAGATAAGTTTTTTTTTTTTGTTTTTTTTCTTCACTTTGTTCATTAGTTTTAAATAACATATCTATTATATACATATATATATATATATATATATATATATATATATATATAAAATAGCATTTTTCTTATACATTTGATAAAAAAAAAAAAAACAAAAAAAAAAGACGACTTATTATTGCGATAAAAATAATAATAATAATCTACGAACATTATTAAATAATTACAGCAGCATCATCATCATCATCATCAGAGAGAATTGTTTAATTTAATTTAAAAAAATAGTAGATGTGTGTTACAAAAAAAAAAAAAAGAAATTCTCACAGAAGAAGAAGAAGGAAGGAGGATATTTTACTAAATTAATTTATAGTAATAATAATATTTGTTATGGTGATGTTTATTTTATTATTATTATTATTATTATTAACGATTAATAATAGTACAATTGAACATTGACAAATTTTTGCCAGTTGTATTAATTTTTTGTCTCTGTTTTAATATTGATGAAATGAGCTTTATTATTAAAAGCTTTCCTTCTTTTAACCATGTTGTTATAATATTGATCAATATTATTAAGTTGCATTTTTATAACACGGATTAGTTCCATAATTGAAATCTAATCTCAACTCTCTTCGATATATATATATATATTTTTTACTACTACAAACAAAAGAAAAGAATGAAAAAGATTATAATTAATGTAATTAAATGTGTGAGAAATAATCTTTCTTTGATATAAATTACAATTTTGGAATGTTACAGAAGGGTTGATATAAAAAACAAAAAAACACAACAAATGTTTATCGATGCTGTAGAATAATGTAGAATATTACTTACATTCTTGTTACAGATTCAAATTATAGTTCGATCTATAATTTTATTAGTACAATATAAGTTATACAAGACATATATAATTTATAAAAGATTTTAATATCTTTTAACATATTACTTTTTTTTATCTTACAACGTTACGTTCATTTATTATAATTATTATTATTATTAATATTATTAATATTTAAGATTCGTTTAAAGACATTTATTATTATTATTATTATTATTATTATACTTTAATAGTTTTGGACCATTTTGTGTGTATGTACATTAATTAATGTATTAGATTAACATATGCATATATATGCCAATATTTTGTTTAAACAAATTCTACTATGTTCATTTTGAAATAATTATTCACAATCCACAATCTTTTAAAAGTTCATAATGTAAAGTATTAATATATATATGTATATATATATTAATATATATATATATGTATGTATCATATTATATCTTATGTAATTGCAGATGATCATCTTGTAACCACGTTGAAATATTGGTAGCTATATTGTGCCTTTTAGTGTGTATGGTTAATTATAAACAATGCAAATAGATACTGTGGAATTGTGGATTTTACAAAAACAACCTATGTTACTTATTATTTATGATTTTTCAACTATGATGTAACGATACTCATATGTAATATGTTATTTATTTTATAAAAAAAAATTTTTCTCTTTTGCAAATCTTTACCAATGTTTTGAATCTTTTTTTTTTTTTTTTAAATAATACCCTGCCGATATATATATATTTACACATATATTGAAAAATTGTTTAATTTATATTAATTGATTAATATTTTCTTTGGTTACATATTATTATTATTATTATTATATACAGGATGTCTCAATTAAATGAGATCACCTAAATACAAAATTGCATCATTGCAGAGAGGAAAATATAATTAATTAAAAAGTCATCTTCTTTTTTATTACATTTTCAATGTTATCCATGTTTCTGATGTAACTTTATATTTTTTTGTGTGTACATATATATATATGTATATAAATATTTTATAAAGTTAATTGAAAATTTGGTCAAACAAATAAGATACCTTTTTTTTTTAAATCATACAAAATATGAATTACTTTTCTTTTTTTTCTTTTTAAATTATATTACAAATTTAATCTATTCTTTATATATATTTTTTTTTTTTAGGGTACAAAAGTTTTCTTATTATATGTTCAATTTTATATCAATTTTACTCTGATAAGAGTAAATTGAAATATACTTTTTACAGTATATATTACAAAAATTAGAATTTGTCTTTTTTTTTTTTTTTTTTTATAAAGAAGAGAACATAATTGATACTTGTATTGAAATATTTTATACAAATGTATAGACTTTTGTTTGAGTTCATCAATTATTTAATGAGCTATAATGTACACAATAACAAAACAAAAAAAAAAACAATTTCTTTATAATGTATCATATATTTACATTCTATTGCGTTCTCGTTGCAAACGATTGCTATATGCTTTAAATACAAGATGAAATGTATCCATATATCTGTCCATGCACATTGCCACACATTTCTGAAATATTATAAATAATACATTATTAATTACTGATATATAAACAAAATAATTCAATATCATTTATTATTGAATCTTATTTTTTTTTTTTTTTTTTTTAATATAAACAAGTTCATTTTTATCAATTGAGTACTTATTGACATTAAAATTGTTGTACAACAATTCATAAATTGTAATTAATTGTTTTAACCTCACTCTTAAATATTTATAATTATAATTTTAATATGATATATGAAGTCAAATGATATATCTGATTAAAAATATTGAGAATTATGACTGAAAGTAATTATTAATTGATGAAATTAAATTAAATTCAAGTCTTATATATAATAAAATAATGATATTAATCATAAATAACATTTAGAAATCATTTTTATAGATGATAATTAGAAATCATGTATGTTTTTACCTGTTCGGTACTATCTAATGATGTACCTGGTTTGATAACACATTTTTTAAAACATTTCTCAATCATTTTCTGTAAACAAACAAAATTTATACAAATTTATATATATATTTTTTGTTTATTTAAATAACCGTACAAAAAAAAAATATATATTGTACAATAATTGTACCGTTAATAATTCTTGTGCATTGGCAACAGCAATTTGCTGTTTAACCTGTTCCATTAATTCACTTTTTTGTGCTCCTGTTAATGAATTAGCCGATAATGAATTCATTTTGTTATATTGCAAATAATGTTCGTCCTATGGAAAAACAAAATTAAAATGTTTTTAACGCGTTATCGTTTTTTTAAAAATATTATTGGTATCATGCACCGGTAATCAGTTAAATATAATTGGAATTAAATAGGTTATAATTTTGGTCTTCAAACAGGGTGTCCAACTTAAACAAAAATATATATTTATTTAAATTGTACTTTTGAATTCGGTGGTATCTTTGATATCAAATATGGAGGGAAATTTGAAACAAAATTAAAATATATTTTTAACGTTGTCGTTTTTTAAATACTATTGATATCATGTACCACCGGTAATCAGTTAAATATAATTGAAATTAGAGAGGTTATAATTTTGGACTTCAAACAGAGTGTCCAACTTAAACTAAAATATATATTTATTTAAATTGTACTTTTGAATTCGGTGGTATCTTTGATATCAAATATGGAGGGAAATTTGAAACAAAATTAAAATATATTTTCAACGTTGTCGTTTTTTAAATACTATTGGTATCATGTACCAACGGTAATCAGTTAAATATAATTGGAATTAGAGAGGTTATAATTTTGGACTTCAAACAGAATGTCCAACTTAAACAAAAATATATATTTATTTAAATTGTACTTTTGAATTCGGTGGTATCAATGATATCAAACATGGAGGGAAATTTTAATTGAATAAAGATATTGTGTGTGAGTTATATCTTTAATGTGTAAAAGTAACATTATTAAATGTATGTAGAAAAATAAGTTGTATAAATTAATATATATTATGTATTATATTTTATAATTGATATTTGTACAAAAGTAATACAAAAAGAAGAAGAAAAAGAAATGAAACGAAAAAAAGTAAACGTTTTAACTGACATCATTTTAAATAAGGTATTATTTGTTAATTTTGTTCTTTTTAAATATACATAACAACAACAAAAACTAAAAAAAAAAATAAACTCTAATTATAATAATATAATAATATTGTAATCGCGTAGAGAGATGAAATGGATGAAGAACATGATAAATCTAGAAATAAAATTATAGAAGCTTTGGGACAAATACAAAGTTATGACATAAATCAAAACTCATATGATTCTGGTAATATTAAATAAATAGGAATATTATTATTATTTATTATTATTATATGTAATATTTTTCAAAAATTCATAATATTCTTTTCAAATAATACATAAATTTTTTGTAGATAGCACTTATTTTAGTGTTGTTGATAATGATCAAGTATGTTCACCCATATTAGAAGACTTATTAACAGAATTAAATATAATAAATCTAGGAAAACAATTAGGAGTAGATAAAAATGATTCATTAGATACAATTTGTTCTTATTGTAAACAAATTTATGAAGTACCAAATATATTGATGAATCCTCGAGATAATACAATCATAGGTCCATTGGAAAAATGCAAGGAAGATTTAAGTTTCGTTCAAGCAATAGTTTGGTTGAAATCAATTGTAAAAAGGATGCATGAAATTCCTTTAGAAGAATATAATTTGATATCTAATATGTTTAAACAAATTTCTAAACGTAACGTCAAATCTCGTTCACGTATAAATGGTAAGTAATATTTGATTAATTTACGATCATTTATTTCTTTCAAATAATAATAATAATAATAATAACATAAATCTATTTTAGATTTTCCTAAATTGCAACGAAATTGTAAGAAGAAAATAATAATGTCTAACTGTTCTAATATCTCAACTAAAGAATTAAATAATACAGTCTCGTTATATTATTCCAAATCTTGGAAATGTCTGTACGATTGTAATGAACAAAATTCAAGTCAAGAATTATATAAAGAACAAGAAAATTGTACAAATATAAATGATACGACAAATCTGTCAGATCCCTTAACACCTCTTAGATGGAATAATTTTTGCACAATGGATATAAATAAATCTCAAAATTGGATTATTCCCGAATCAGATGAAGAATTAACAATAAATTCGGAAAATGTTGATGATACGTATTATCAAGAAAATGTCATAACACCGGATTTATTTACTATAGAAAATGTCATAACACCGGATTTATTTAATTCAGAAAATGTCATAACACCGGATTTATTTACTTTAGAAAATGATTCTTTAAATAACGATGAAAGTAATATTTCCGATAAACAAGAAGACAGTGCATATGACACTTTAAATATCAATCAACAAGATTCCATGAATTTTGTCAACAATATCGACGAACGAATAAATAATAAATATTTACAGAAAAAACGACAAATAGAAATAATCGATATACCGAGAAAAAGATTAAAGAAGAATATAAAACAATGTATTTCAACAGGATGGATCAATTTTACTCTTAAATCATTGGAAACGAATGATGTTGTCGTTAAATCAATAGAAATGATTTTAAGAGTTTTCAAAAATGAAACTATAGTTAATGATTATTTGAAAAGAAAATGTTGGATTGATACGTTAGAAAAAGAAGCGTTAGATGCAATATTACAATTTGCAAATATTTTTCAATTAGAAATGAAATCTGATGTATGCAGTCAAATAATTGTACAGGCAATACAAGATGTATTGAAAGAAATTTGTCAAAAGACAAATTTCAATAAGGTAAATTAAACATCATTTGTGTGTGTGTATTATTATCATATATATATATATTATTCTATGTGTTTTTTTTTTTTATATTTTAATAATCCATAAATATGTAATTTATTATTTTAGACGACATTACAAATATATCACATATCTATTATTCTAGAATTTTGTAATTCTCAATACATTTGTTCAGAGATTATTGATTTTCTAATAAAACAATTAGATTACTTGAATATTACATTAACAGATATATTTGAAGAAAAACAACATGGTATTAATAATATTATTAATAAAATACATCTTATTTTATATGCTTTAAGTATTTGTTTGCGAAAATATAAAATGATAATTCTTAGTAATAAAAATGATACTGAACGTAATATCATAATACCAGTAACAAAACTTTGGCGAAAACAATGGAACATAGATCATGTTTCTAATGAAAATAATACAAAAGCACAGATGTCTATTGAAAAATGGATAAATAGTTTAGAATTATTTACGAGAAATCATATATATGATATTCCATTGTTAGCTGAAAAAACACGCCAATTACATCTTATGTTGATTACATAAAACATTTATTTTGATATATTATCATTTTACTAAATTATATATTATTATTACTATTATTATTATAAATTAGAATAAATAATAATGAAAAGAATTTTAATTTGTTATTTTAATAGAAATATGAATATAATGAAAATGTTTGTACATGTATTTAAATTATAATTGATATAACATTAAGATATACATATTTAAAAAATATGTACTTATCTTTTATATAATAAATGATATGCAATAAAAAAAAAAAAATATTATATCTAATTATAATGAACAATTCTTAGAAATAAATTGAAATTACTTGTAATTTTTAATTCTTTTTTTTTCTAATATCGTTGTTCATCAAGATAATTTTGGATTTAAAATATGCAAATATTATTCTATCATTTTTAAGAACGATAATAATGATAAGATAAGATACATGTTTACATAGTTAAAAAGCTTTTAAATAGTAGAAAATGCGTCATTAAATTGTAGAAAATTTAAAAATGATTTTCAATCTAGACAAAATTAGATATTCCATAGTTTTACTTATTAGTGTTACGTTTGGATTCATTTATGCATACGAAGATGACAATTATCAATTGAAATTATTAAATGTAGTGAGTAACAAATATTTCAAACATTATTCTCTTAATAATATCAATGATATTTGATTTTGTTTTAATTTAACAGCTATTTAGACATGGAGATCGAACACCTGACGATTATGAAACTTATCCAAATGATCCTTATTTAAATTATACTTATTATCCAATTGGTAATGGACAATTAACAAACGTACGTTCGATTTTTTATTCTGAATTGATAATTTATTTCTAATGAAAATACTCTTAATTTGTTTCAATTGTTCTACTGAAAAAAAAAAAAGAAAGAAAAAAAGAAAAACGTGTTTAAGTCATTAACAAAATTATGTAATTTTAAGGATGGTAAACTACGAGAATTTCGATTAGGTGAATTTCTTCGAAAAAGATACGACAATTATTTAGGTTCGTTATATATTCCAAAAACAATTGAAGCTCGTAGTTCGGATTACGATAGAACAAAAGTATCCTTACAACTTGTCCTAGCAGGACTATTTCCAACTAAAAATGTTCAAATATGGAATGATAATTTATTATGGCAACCAATTCCCACGAAATATGTTCCAAGAGTCTATGATAATCTTTTTCTTACGCACGAATGTCCTAGGTATTTATTATTATTATTATTTGATTTATAATAATTGTTATTATATTAAATAATGTTATAATATATTACTCATTTGTTATTACAAAGATGACAATATTGTATTACATTTAAAAATTGTAGATTTTCGGATGAATTGAAGACAATTTTAGAATATACTGAAATTAAAGAAGAATTAGCTTCATTCGATGATTTGAACATTGAACTTTCTAAATATACTGGAAGAAATGTTCATAATCCTATCGATTATGGTTTTATATATACAATTTTAATATTACAAAAATCTATGGGTTTTCTTTTACCTGCTTGGACGAAATCATTGCTTCCGAAACTTTATGATGCCGCACTTTTCGGTTTTAAAATATTCAATTATAATCAATCGATTAGAAAATTATTTGGAGGTTTATAATAACATTTAATAATAATAATAATAATGATAATAATTCAAAATAATAAATCATGAATATTTTATTCAATTAGATTCTTTTTTTTTTATAGGACCAATGCTTAAAGAATTTATACAGAATATCGTTGGATATTTAAATGGTACTATTGAAGTGGACAACAAATTGTTTTTATACAGTGGTCACGATTTAAATGTTGCTAGTTTATTGTATAGTTTGAATATATGTGAACCACATATTCCTGAATATTCCAGTAGCATTTTTATGGAACTTTTGTACAAAGATGGGATATATTATGTCAGAGTATGATAATTATATATTTTTATTATTTTTATTATAAAATAAGATACAAGATATAGTACTTAATAAATAATATTTATTAAATACTATACCTTGTATCTTCTTTTGTCTGTGTGTGTGTGTGTGTGTTGTGTGTGCTTTAAAATAAATATAAAGCAATGAATTATTTATCTTGTTAACTTTGCTTGTAATCAACGAATTGAGTTTCTTTATAAATTTCATTTGATTTTATTAATATTTTATAGATATTATATTATCTGGGAATTCCAGCTGAACTTAAAGTACTTCGACTTCCCAATTGTGAAGAAATATGTCCGTTAAATACATTTTTTCAATTGATTATTGACAATTTACCTACAGACGAAGATATGATTTGTGATAAAAGAAATACTTCAAAATATGTTGATCAAAAGTATGATTATACTATTAAAAGTATAGATTTATTTAATTATATACAAAATTATAATAATAATAATAATAATAATAATAATAATAATAATAATAATAATAACAATTTATGAAAAATCTATATTATTATTATTATTATTATTATTATAATAATAAAAAGATATTTTTAATCAAAAATATACCGCGATAGAATATTTTATGATTTATTTTGATATGTCTAATAAATAGAAATTATTATTGTTAATGTAAAATGAAAAAGACAGTTTCATGTATTCAAATATACAATTCATTTCTTCTATGTTCCTTTTATTAATGATATTTATAAAAGAATCATTGATCATTAATAAACGTAATAGTATTGATAAGATAAGATAAGATATACAGCATATATATATATATAGATCATTAACTTTTATACAGTATAAATCATAAAACATCACATTTATGTAATAAAAAGGCACATTTATTTTTTTTAATGAATTTAATAATAAACAATATTATTATTATTATTATTATTATTATTATTATTATTATTATTAATTGGTATTAGGAACTCGAAAGTACATTGCCGTAAATATCAAATGCCGCCATTGTTTCTGTCCCTAAACGCAATTCCTCCATTCGCGGTTTAATAATAAACAATATACAGTAAATAAATAATTGATCGAATTTTTAATTAATTATATTTAATATAAGGAACAGAATAAATGCAAAATAAAACAATACACATTTGAATTATACATGTAACATTAAAAGAAGATATATACATGAATATGTTTATAAAAAAGAAATTATTTGTATATAATAATTATGAAAATTAAAAGTAATATCGTATATATTAATTGATTGCAATTGAGATTAGCTGTATTAGTTTTAGAATTTATATTTATATATGATAAATCATTTGTCCATTTGCATAATGAATTTTCGTCGATTGGTATTGAATCGAAAATAATTTGTGAAAATACATTTAAAGGACAAATTACAGAACATCCTGGTAACGTCAAAATGACATTTTCCTCGTGAATACCCGTATAATAATTGATCTGTATAATTAATATTTAATTTAATATATATATATATTAATATGAAATTATTTGAAAAAATAATGAACAATTATTGGAATTACCATTATTCCGTATGTAGATGTGACATTGTTAAAATACAATTCGAAAATAAGTGAAGATGCTTCCGATGGTATATGTGGTGACCATAAATTCATAGCTTTCAAAATTCCGATGATATTTCTGACGTCACCACTGTACATCATCATTTTCATATCATTTGTAATAATACCTTGACTATATTTTAATGCATTTAAAGTAATTTCTTTTAAAAATGTTCCACCATTTAATTGTCTTTGAACAGTTGTCATAGATAATAAATCATATTGCAATAATGTTACATTATACATTTCACCATCTGGAAATGTATCAATTGCCCAAAATGGTATTGATAAATTATAAGCATTCTGTAATACAATAATTGTGTTTATTATTTATTATTATAATTATATATATATATATCTTTTAAATAGATATATTATGTAATTATTATCTAACTTACTTTTGTTTTTAAAACATTGTATAAAAATTCTACATCCGATGGTTTGGTCATTTTCATGCCAGTATGATTGGAAAGATAATCGAATAATGGTTTATGATGTAATATTATTTTGTCCATATATTCTTCTGCTTTGAATTCTTCTATTTTAAAACGTGGACAGTACGTGCCTAACAACAACGTATCATTTTCCACTTTGGTATATTCTGTAAACATTTTATTACAATGTTTAAATTAATAAATGTATAAATGATATTGTGTTTTATTTTACAGGGATCACGTTTTCAAGATTACATGCTTTCAATAATAACTTATCAAGAGGAATCACAAACACAATGTTGAAATAAAATCGTGAAATCTATGAATAATAAAACTTTATATTATTTACCATAGTTTAATGTCTTAAGTCTTTCGAAACAAGGTATTTAAACAACCCACATATTTAAATTTGGCAAATTTGGGAATAGATTAGTTCAAGGTTGTCTAGATAAGCTTATTATGAAAAGTGAATTATATATATTTTTTTTTTTTTTGTATTATTCTGTATACAGAAGGAGAAGAGATTTTGAACGGGATCACAATTTCAACATTACATGTTTTTAATAATAACTTATCAAGAGGAATTACAAACACAATGTTGAAATAAAATCATGAAATCTATGAATAATAAAACTTTATATTATTTATCATAGTTTAATGTCGTAAGTCTTTCGAAACAAGGTATTTAAAACAACCCACATATTTAAATTTGGCAAATTTAGGAATAGATTAGTTCAAGGTTCTCAAGATAAGTTTACTATGAAAACTAAACTAATTATTTTGTACTATTCTGTATACAGGTGGTGAAGAGGTTTCGAAAGAGACATGAGATAATACGAACAAAACAATACAATAAATGAGTGAAAATATTATTCTGTATAAAGGAGGTGAAGAAGAAAATAATATAAAAATAATTGAAAATATTGTTCATTAAACTAACCAAAAGGTATAGGTTGCCAATTCAAATCGTCATTCCATTTTTGTAATTCTGACGGTGGCCAAAGTGCCGCGTTAACAAGTTCCGCTGATATTTGTGATAATGGAAATTCCGTAGTACGAATTTTCATAATTTTCTTTGAATAAACATTACCTAAGAATTTATCGTACCTTTCACGTAAATACGTCCCGAGGTTGTACATATTCAATTTACTTACCTATTAACATTTAATTAGTGTAATCATTATATTTAGCATTAAATCTATCAAACGTGAGTATTTTTATATAACGAGTTAACGTTTGTTGACAATTTTACCTTGGGTATATCTTTCGTCATTGAATTGATATAATCATATGACGAATTATTTAACAAAATTGTAATATTATTATTAATAGCATCTTCGTATGGTACATATTGATTGTTCATATAAATCTGTAATATATAATATTTTTATATATTTTTATATATATATAATTAAATATTACAAAATTATATATGATTTATTAATAATAATAATAATAATAATAATAATAATAATAATTCGTACAATTTGTAATAATTTTAATTCATCGATACCAAATGCAAATGTTAACATTGTTATAAATATTAACAATGTCGATCGTTTTACGTTATTCATTTTAAATAATATTTGTATTAATTAAACTTCGTCGTATTAATGTTATAAATTATGTATATATGAATATTATTAATGAATTTGAATTTGAATTTCACTCTTGTCACACTGTCATCATACACGTTATTTTACATTATCAAATTGGAATCAATATAAATGTATATATATATATATATAAATTATAATTTGACAATATTGTTTGTTTCAATTTCAAGTTGAGCACTACGAAAATTGTCGTATTCTCGAATCGACGATAAGAATTGAACAATGTTAGAATTGTCTTTCTTCTCTTCTTGACACATTAGTTTCCTTTACTTTTGTGTAACTAAACTTATCATTGAGCAAGATCTCTTTTCTCATTTCGAAGAAGAAGAAGGAAGAAACTGGTAATCCTTCCGACTAATAAAAGCACCTCATTAAAATGAATTAGAGACTATTATGCTATTCAGGTAAAAAAAATATCGCGTTATCAAAGTGAAGGATTTCTTTTTCTTTTTTTTTTTTCTCTTTTAAAGGATTAACTTGTATACGTTACATCGATAAGTGAAGAAGAACAAGAAGAAGAAGAAGTAGAAGAAGAATAAGAATAAAATCCAAACGTGTATCACATTAAAGTGAATTATTTTATTACAACGAGTTATATTACGTGTGGTGTGTTTCAGCATATTAATGTAATCTAATAATAATAATATAATAAATAATTAATAATAATATTATAATATAATAAAATTAACTTAAATTTATTATTATTAATTATTTAATTTAATGTCTTGTTTGTTCATTAATTTCAATGAAATCGTATTAATATTTTAATTGTTTGATTATTGGTGCCTGACAATTCAATTAATTTCAATTTTACAATAAAATAATTAATTAAATTAATTTGAATTAATTTGAATTAAATAAAAGGGATCAGAAAAATAATAATTTCACATTTTTTTCTTTTATTATTATTATTATTATTATTATTATTATTATTATTATTATAATTTATAGATAAGCTGATAGATTTGTTTTGTTATGTTTTTCTTTTTTTTTTTCCTATGCAAATAGTTCATTTCGATTACAAATATTGTTATAAACATTTTTGTATATATTCATGTGAGTGAGTGAGTGAGTGAGTGAGAGAGAGAGAGAGAGAGATAGACAAGCAAAGATAAGGATAAAGAATAAGAATTAAGTATTATAAATCTTTCAATCGTTTCTTTTTTTTTTTTTTTTTTGTCTTTTTTTGTTCTTTATTTCTGACATTTAAATTTCTAACTTTGTTTTATGTATACTATTTTTATTTTTTTATTTTTTTTTTTTTTTTTATATTTTTANTTTTTTTTTTTTTTTGTTGTCTTCTTCTTCTTTTTTATTCTGACATTAAAATCATTAACTTTGTTTTATGTATACGATTTTTATTTTTTTATTTTTTTTTTTTTTTTTATATTTTTACATGGCTACCTTTATTCTTGTTTAATTTAATTTAATATCTGTTTTTTCTTTTCTTTTTCCAACACATCAATCACTTAATACATAAAAATCATTTGATTTGATTCTCTTATCTTGCGTAATATTATTTGAATTGTTTTTTTTCTTGTTTTTTTTTTTTTTTTGATTACGTAAAATAAAATTTATTGTATTATTTAATCTTAAACAATTTTCAAATTAATATTTCAATTTTGATTTATCATTAAGATACACTTATCAGAATGAAGGTTTAACTGTAACTAACTATAATTAGATATCATTGTAACGTACACATGTGTAGTACACATTCATTAATAAGTGTGTATAATATATGTATGTGTATTTGTGTATTAGTGTATTAATTTTATATTATAACAGTTTGCTTTTCCAATTATCAAATTTTAAATTACCATGAAATATTTACAGATAAGATATATATATGTATATATATATATATATTATGTATAAGAGTGAGTTTCATTTTTTGTAATTACATTTGCATATACACATAAATTAACGTTAACTAATTAACGTGAATATTTGTAAAAAAAAAAAAAAAGAAAAAAAAGAAGGAAAACCTTTTAAAACAATGTTTTAAGTGATAACCAACGTTATCATTTATTTTTCAAGGTTTTTTTCACTTTTTTTATTTTTTCCAACGCGTGTGAATTGTTTCAATTATATAAAATAATATTATATGAAATAAAATAAAAAAAAATTAATATAATAATGTTTTAAACATTAAATAATAATTTTTTAAACATTCTTTTTTTCTTTGTTTTGTTAATAACAAAAACATAATATTCTATGAAATGAAATAAAATAATTCGATAGAACAATTTAAAAAAAAAAAAACTGAATAAATGTGTTTTGAATTACATTTTTTTTTTATTAATAATTAAAATATATACAACAAATAAAACTAATCATTCAAAGTATTGGATTAAAAACATCGAATAAATTTTGACATTGTAATAATTAAATATACCCGCACATGATGTTGCTTATAAAGTGCTATACTTGTCCTATAATTTTCAAGGCTAATCATAGTCGTTTGTTAACTTGATCAATTCTATGTCACTAAGCTTAAGATAATGTCTTAAATATAAATAAATTAGCTAGAATAATTATTAGTACCCGCAGCGGAAGTCCCGGATGATTCTTAACTACCAACTTAAACAAAAAAAAGGATTGCATTTAATCAATGATGTATATATATATATATACATATATAAACACACGTGTATTAACATTTTCGATATTCCAATAGATTGAACATTTGCTCATGTTATAAATAAAAGAACGGATTAATTTACATGGACATATTACATTAATCTATGGTAGGTAAATCACATCATCACTATCTTGTGTTTGTGTTTGTGTTTGTGTCTGTCTGTTTTGATTAATATCATTTATTTTCTAACAAATCAATTGATTATATTTATAATTATTCTTATAACATAATATATTGTATTTTAGTTAAAATAATACATTGATTAAATAATATCATCTTTTTTTCATATATTTTTACTTATAATACAGTAATAGTAAGTTAACTTTAACTATTATATATTATACATATATATATAACTTATATAACTTATATAACTTATATAATATAGTTAATAATAAGTTAATAATTATATATATATATAACTTATATAATATAGTTAATAATAAGTTAACTTTAACTATTGTTTTGATTAATATCATTTATATTCTAACTAAGTCAATTTATAATTATTTATATATAATTATTTATAATATATTGTTTTTTAGTAAAATTTGTAGTAAAATACACTGCTCGAATATTATGATCTTTATTTTGTAATTTAACTTACAATATATAGTAATAATAAGTTAACTTTAACTATTGTTTTGATTAATATCATTTATTTTCTAACTAAGTCAATTGATTATATTTATAATTATTCATATAACATAATATATTGTATTTTAGTTAAAATAATACATTGATTAAATAATATCATCTTTATTTTGTTTTAAATTTAACTTATAATATAATTAATCATAAATTAACTGACATCAATTATAATTCAAAATGCTCAAACATAAATTGACAGTTTAGTTTGTACTTATCGTAGATAATGATACTTTTTAGCTAAAACAAAAAGTATAGATTGTCGTATCAAGAATATTACGTAGATATAAGTAAGTTGTGTATTTCATTAATTTTAACAAACTACAGGTAGAGTTGGTTTAAAGCTGTTACGAGCTGTACGAGCGTTTATTCCCCTATATTATAAGAAGTATCAATAATTTGATCTCTGTCTTAAGTTAGTGTCAAAACTGGAAGGATCAAGTTGAAGCTCACTGCTCTACACTTGTTACCTTCAATCAAAATAACTTCAATTAAGTAAGTAGTAATACATTGAATTGTGGAACATCTTTTTATAAATGTATTATTAAATACATTATTTCTTCATTTTTCTGTTTACATTTTGAAAAATAATATTTATCAATGTATCAACGTTATTCCCATTATATATACATTTAATACTGATAAAATAAAATATAATAATTAACAGCTTTTCAAAAAGAAAAGTATAAATGAAAAATTGATTTTGTGTTCGAATGAAATAAAAAATGGTGAAAATTGTTGTATAACTTTTGAACTACTATCATCATTCGTATGAAAACATTTGGACGTTATATTTTTCATTTCGTAATATATATGTTACGAAAGATTAGTCATGAATATTTTTCGACATTTAATCACTCAATTGTAATTTACAAGAATCGATTTTAAATCAATGTCTTCTCATTTGCATTATTTTATATATTTATATATATATATATATATTTTGTTTCAGGATTGAACAATAAAATGATTTCAAATCAATACACCATCATGAGGTATTGCATTATTTTATTTATTAGTTTTATGGTGGTATGCACGTGTGCATTAAAATATGACGATTATGAATTAAAATTATTAAATGTGGTGAGTCAAAAATATTTCACTTAACTTTTTGTTCTTTTATTAAATATAATTTCAATTATATATATATATATATATAATTTAAATTTGATTTTCAATGAAACAGGTATTTAGACATGGAGATAGAACACCAGAAGACAGTCCTTATGAAAAATATCCAAATGATCCATATTTAAATTATAGTTTTTATCCTATGGGTAGAGGACAATTAACAAAAGTAACTTTCATTTGATTCTTTCTTTCTTTCTTTCTTTCTTTTTTTTGTTTTGTTTGTTTGTTTCTAATATTAATAAATGTTGTAACTTGCTTGTTTTATAAAATTATCAACGATTTTCTTCTTTTTTGTTTTTTTTTTTTTTAGATAGGTATGCAAAGGGAATTTAAATTAGGTGAATATCTTCGAAAAAGATACGACAATTATTTTGGTCCATTGTATATTCCAAAAACAATTGAAGCACGTAGTTCGGATTACGATAGAACAAAAGCATCCTTACAACTAGTACTAGCAGGATTATTTCCAACTAAAGGTATTGAAATATGGAATCCTAGATTAAGATGGCAACCAATTCCTGCTAAATATGTTCCAAGAGTCTATGATAATCTTTTTCTTGGTGATGAGTGTCCACGGTATTTATTATTATTATTATTATTATTATTATTATTAATATTTTACTCAATTTGTTAAACAAAGATGATTTAAAATCTTTTATATCATACATTGTAGATATTTGGATGAATACAACAAAGTTTTAGAATCTGCTGATTTTAAGAGAGATATTGAACCATATGAAGATCTAATTTCTGAACTAACTAAATATACTGGCAAAAATATTAGTACTCCTTTGGACATTTCATATTTATATCATACTCTAATGGCAGAGTATTCTATGGGTCTTCCTTTACCTGCTTGGACGAAACCATTATTTCCATATGGTAGACTTTACAATGCTACTATTGTTGCTTATAAAGCAGCCAATTATAATAAATCATTAAGAAAAATATACGGAGGTATTATAATAATTGAATATTATTATTATTATTCTTCTTCTTCTTCTTCTTCTTCATTTTTCATTACTGATCATCATGAATATAATTTGAATTTGATGATTTTTATAGGAGCAATGCTTAAAGAATTTATCAAGAATATCGTTGGATATGTAAATGGTACTTTTGAAAAGGACAACAAATTATTTGTATACAGTGGTCATGAAACAAACATTGCTAGTTTGTTATACAGTTTGAATGTATATAAACCACATGCTCCTGCATATTCAAGTAGCATTTTTATGGAACTTTTGTACAAAGATGGGATATATTATGTCAGAGTATGATCATTTTGTATATTCTTCTTTTTTTTTGTTTTCTTTTATGTGTGTATGTGTGTGTGTACTTTAAAGTGCATATAAAGTAGTAAATTATCCGTCTTGATAATTTCGATAATATAATCTACAAAGTTTGCTTTATAAATTATATTTTATTTTTATTTCTAGATATTATATTATCTTGGAATTCCACTTCAACTTGAAACACTTCAACTACCAGGTTGCGAAGAAGTATGTCCGTTAGATAAATTCTTTCAATTAACTATTGACGATATACCTTCGGAAGAAGATATGGTTTGTGATAAAACAACAACTCCAGATTATGCTGATCAAAAGTATGATCCTAATAGGAGTATTGATTTATATAATTATATTAAAAATTATAATAATAATAATAATAAGTTGTGATTAATCTATGGTATTTAATGATATGCAATCAGTGGAATTGTCTTGAAATTAATTTTACGATTTAATAATAAATACGAATTTCTGTGTTTTATTTTTATCATTGTTATTATATATCAATTTTACTTTGATAACATTTTCGATCAATCAATTATGATTAATAGATAAAAGTGTATTGTCATATTTGAAATTCGTAGAACAAGTACAAATCGATTAACTTTTTTTTTTAAGATTCTTTTTAAATTTATATATTATACTTATAATTATATGAATTATTTAATTCTATTTTCTTTCATATTTAAACAAGTCAGTAATAGTTATTTCAAGAACTAGCTTATCATTTCAAGTATTACCGGATTTCGCTTAGAGTAACTCTTAGTAAATTTACATATATATAGTTATAATTAAATAGTGGTATCATGAATATTAAATGAATATTTTATTTTTTAAATATATACATGTATATATATATGGGTAATTTTTCTTATCTTCGCTAATAGGATTAAAAATAATTTGTAAACGTAAAAAATTATTATTACACAATATACAATTTTGAAAAGAAGAAATAAATTGTCTTACCATCTGTCGGTATAGATCATTATTTTATCTCTTTATTTATCGATTTACCGATAGCGACAAATTTCCTTATCGTAAACTTACCAACACGTTTTCTTGTCGATAATTTACCTACACGTTACCCTGTCGATAACATACCAACAAGTCGGTACTACTTGAATCGATCGAGTAGTTTACTCAATTCTATTCAGATGGCATGATAGCTGCAACATGGCGACGTTTCTTCATGCTTATTCTGTTTAGTATACAGACGTAGTTCAAAGTATTCAGATAGATTCAGTTCTGTTTATAGTGTCGAAAAGTGTTATTATTTAATAATTAATTAACACTATGGGTAATGCTGATACAAAATTGAATTTCCGTAAAGCCGTTGTCCAATTAACCTCTAAAACTCAGGTGACAGCATATAATATCTTTCTCATGAAAAAAAAAAAAAAAAAAATTCTTATTTGACGTTTCAATATGTCAAGCAATTATGTGACCAATATTGCTTTTTATTTTGATAAATACTTTTATAAATAAAGAGAAGAGAAAAGTACATTTTTATTTAATAACATTTTTATCGTAAGCTAAGCTTTTATTGTTAAATCGTTTAATTTGATCTATCTATCCTTTTTATTTCAAACATATTTTATATTGTAGGTGATCGAAGCATCCAATGACACTTTTTGGGATCAATTTTGGTCTGAAAATGTAACCAATGTGCAAGACATATTTACATTAATTCCAGCTTCTGAAATTCGAATTTTAAGAGAAGAAGCACCATCTAACCTAGCAACGTTATGTTACAAAGCTGTTGAAAAATTGGTTAAAGCTGTTGATAATAGTTGTAGAACGCAAAGAGAACATCAAACAGTTCTCAATTGTTGTCGTTTACTAACAAGATTATTACCATATATATTTGAAGATCCTGATTGGAAAGGATTCTTTTGGTCAAGTTTACCAGGCAAAGAAGATGAAGAAAGTTTACCATTAGCACATTCCCTATTAAATGCATTATGTGTAAGTAAATATCAATGATAAAAATGTCATCTTTAATTTATCATTATTAATCATTAATATTTCGTTTTTTATAGGATTTACTATTTTGTCCAGATTTTACAGTAGCTGCAAATAGAAAATCAGGACCTGTGAGTGAACTACCTTTTAAAATGAAATATTAATTTTTAATTAACTTCAATGAACTTTTGTTTTTGTTAAATAGGACAAAGCAGAAGAATTGCAAACGATAGACAGTTGTGAATATATTTGGGAAGCTGGTGTTGGATTTGCACATTCCCCACCCAGATATTCTATTTTAGATTCAAATAGAACGGAATTATTAAAATTATTGTTGACATGTTTTAGTGAAACTATGTATAATCCTCCAATGGATTTATCAATTACACCAAATAAATGGATTCAACGTTTGACAAGTACTGAAAATAGGTACAATATTTCAAGATTATGTTATTTAAAAGATTTGTTCATTTTAATTGAGAGTTAATATTTATAATAACGTTTGTTTTTTTTTTTTTTATAGGCATGCATTACCCATGTTTACATCACTGTTAAATACAGTATGCGCTTATGATCCAGTTGGACTTGGTGTACCTTACAATCATCTTTTATTTACTGATTCATTGGAACCATTAGTAGATGTTGCTTTACAGATTTTAATAGTCACTTTAGATCATGATACGTCTGGTGAAATTCCAACAGAAGAAGGATCACTTGGAGATAATCTTTTTATTAATTATTTAAGTCGTATTCATCGTGACGAAGGTAATTATTATAAATTGATATTTATTATCTTTAAATATTTGATTATTTATTATATCTTATTATCTCTCATTACAGATTTTCAATTTGTGTTAAAAGGAATCACTAGATTATTAAATAATCCATTAATGCAAACTTATTTACCTAATTCAACGAAAAAAGTACATTTTCATCAAGAACTGTTAGTATTCTTTTGGAAGATGTGTGATTATAATAAAAAATTTTTATACTATGTACTTAAAAGTTCAGATGTACTTGAGGTATTAGTTCCAATACTTTATCATCTCAATGATTCACGTGCAGATCAATGTAAATATCAATAACAATTATTAAATGTGTTATATTATTAAATATTGTTAAATATACAGTTGATAATATTTAATATTACAGCACGTGTTGGATTGATGCACATAGGTGTATTTATTTTGCTTCTGTTAAGTGGAGAACGTAACTTCGGAGTACGATTAAATAAACCATATACTGCTACAGTACCAATGGACATTCCAGTATTTACAGGTAGAAAACTTTAATCAACATTTTTGAAAATTACAAAATTAATTATACAAGTTATCACAATTGTTTAATGTGTTTATGTTAAATATTCTTTTATTTAGGCACTCATGCTGATCTACTAGTAACAGTTTTTCATAAGATTATCACAACAGGACATCAAAGATTGCAACCATTGTTTGACTGTCTTCTTACAATTTTAGTCAATGTTTCTCCTTATCTGAAAACTCTTTCAATGGTGGCCAGTACTAAATTGTTACATTTACTTGAAGCATTTAGTACACCATGGTTCTTATTTTCAGCACCTACTAATCATCATTTAGTATTTTTTCTTTTAGAAATTTTTAATAATATAATTCAGGTAATTTTGTTATTATATATATATATATATTATACAAAATGAATTTTTCTTACGTTTATTATTTTAATAATTCAATTATTTTGTTTTTTATTATTTCTAGTATCAATTTGATGGAAATAGTAATTTGGTATATACAATAATACGTAAAAGACAAGTGTTTTATGCATTAGCAAATTTACCAAGTGATTGCAACACTATTGCTAAGTCTCTTAGTAAAAGACAACAGCGACATGTACCAACAAGTACATATAATGAAAATACTAGTGAAACTGCAATGGAAGGATCTCATCCTGCTCAACCAGCAGAACCAGGAACTTTAAAAGCTTCTTTATTAGAGACACCAGGTAATACAAAAAACTAGCACGAACATATATCTATAAAAAGCAACAAATGAAAAGTGTCAATACACAAATCTATTTTGAATCATTACAGGTATTGAAAAGATGACAGAAAAAGAATCAGCACATCCATTAAGTCCTTCAGTGAATGTTGATATTGGAAAAACAAATAATCTTTCGAATTCTTTGGATAATACAACTGATACAACAACATTAAATAAACAGAATTCTATAATACCAGTATGAATAATAATTTGTCTATTTTTATATAAATATTTGTACTTATTGATGATATTAATATAAATTATTTTCATATTTAGAAAGGAGGAATCAGAGTAGCTGAGCAAACAAATATATCAAACAATACCAATCAATGGGTTCCTTCTAGTGAATGGGTTTACCAATGGAAAAGTAAACTTCCATTACAAACTATTATGAGATTATTGCAAGTTCTTGTTCCTCAAGTTGAAAAAATATGTATTGACAAGTATGTATTTATTGATATTGATATTTATTTATTTATTTATTAGTACCATATTAAATAACCAATCTTCACTTCAGGGGTTTAACAGATGAGAGTGAAATTTTAAAATTTTTACAACATGGTACATTGGTTGGTCTTTTACCAGTTCCACATCCTATTCTTATTAGAAGATATCAAGCTAATGCTGGAACAACTGCTTGGTTTAGAACTTATATGTGGGGAGTTATATATCTTAGAAATGTTGAACCACCCATTTGGTATGATACAGATGTCAAATTATTTGAAATACAAAGAGTTTAAACATATTAACGCGTGTAAAGATATAAATCAGTTTATAGTAATTAGAAATTTACATTATCATTTACATCAAGTATTTATACTGCAAATATATAGTATAAACAAATCACTGCTATAACTTAAAGTTTATTTATTCAATGCAATTTTAATTTTACATCGTATTATATGAATAATAACGATATATATATATATATATATATAAATATATATATGTAAACATTATGATAGATATAAGATTTATTAACAGAAAAATGAGGTGCAAATATTTTCTTAAGAAACAATTGTATCAATCTAGCATTTTGTCTTAAATGTAATTTATTATAATATTCTTTATTATTTACTTGTTCATATACTCATGTGCATTGACAAATACGTTCATTTTATTTGCCTCGTTTATTTAATAACATTGATGCATTATATATTAATAATAAATTAGATATCTTTACATCATATTTTTATGTTTGTCTCTATATTCAATGTTTCATATACTTTATTACTATATATATATATATTTATGTATAAATAAGATTAACTATTGCTTTTGTGATGAAAAAGTAAAATACAATGTGAGTGTATGATATATCAATTAAAAATAAAAAATATCAATAAATCATACACATATTATTTACTATTCTTCTGATTTATTTTCAATTTTGTTTTGATCTTCTACATTTGTTGATGTATAATTACATTTTTCCAGTGCTTGTTTATAAGCTTCCTCCTTAGATAATTTGAGCTGTAAGAAAAATGTTATATAACAATTATTATTTTTATATATACTAATATACAACGATTTATATATATATATATATATTACCTTTATTAAATCATTATATGCATCAAGAAATTTCCTTGTTTGTGATAGATATTTTGTATTTTTTAAATTTGTCATTCCTAGATTTTTACAATCTTTGTGAAATCGTCTATAAAGTTAGAAATATTTCATATTATACAAAAAATGATAATTTTTAATGAACTTTTTTTGCATCATTGTACAATTTCTTACGCTCGTATAACATCTTCTTTGTAAAAGATTTGTTTTAATTCCACTTTTGGAACACTCCTTTCATAACTGGGTTCATATTTAGGTGGAAATGCTTCATATATCTTATACCACAATGGTTTATCTGATTCAGACATTGCACCTCCACGTATTAATGATGTTACTCTTTAACAATAATAATATTAAACAAATAATTTTATTCTAAATTTTGATATTATTTATAAATATTTTTCAATATTTGGAAATGTACCTTGTAAAAATAGTTCCAACCTTTTCTACTCTTGTTTGAGCCATTATGGTTAATAATTAAATATGTCAATATTTAAAAATTTAATACAATATCCTGTAAATAATAATAAACATAAAGTCACTCTTATATTTAAGAGTATTTTTATGCATGTATGCAACATGCAAGTCTTCTGAGAAAAAGTTAGGTTAAGTCATAAAACATTTCCTTGTATTATATGCGACATAAGGTAACCAATCAGAGAAGCCAGATCGTAGAACATTTCTACCCCTTCCCTCGAGCCCAGCACGCCTCGCACACAACGAAATGTTACGTGTCGGTGTGTCGGGAAACCGAAAGAAGCCGAGGGAAGCCGAGGTTAGCTGCGCGACAGAGGAGAAATAATACCCCCACCACGCGCCGCGGAGAAATACATGGACACAAATACATTTGAACAATGTATAAAACAATGTGGTGGGGGTATTATTTCTCCTCTGTCGCGCAGCTAACCTCGGCTTCCCTCGGCTTCTTTCGGTTTCCCGACACACCGACACGTAACATTCCGTTGTGTGCGAGGCGTGCTGGGCTCGAGAGAAGGGGTAGAAATGTTCTACGATTTGGCTTCACTGTAACCAATAGGAACATAGCTTTTCTTCTATCGCTAAGATTTATAGGTTAATTCAAATCTCTTAGAGAAATTCGAGTTAATATGAACTCGTGTCACATGTAGAAAGAAATTTTTTTTGTAAATTAAATTTGTAAGTAAATATAAGATTTTATCAATTTATGGCAAATAATTAAATATAGTATCTTTTCTCTATTATTACAGAATATTTCAACAGTATATTAATTAATTGAAGAAAGATGTCGTATATTGATGAAAAAAAAATATTAGCTATAGGTGATGTATTAAATGATGAAAACAGACCACTTAAGGAAAGATTTCGTGCACTATTTACTTTGAAAAATATTGGAGGTTCAATAGCTATCGAACAAATACGTAAAGGTTTTAAAGATAAATCTGCATTATTAAAACATGAGCTTGCATACTGCCTTGGTCAAATGCAAGATCCTTTAGCAATATCTATTTTAATTGACGTATTAAAAGATGATACACAGGAACCTATGGTTAGACATGAAGCAGGTACATATTTTTATTTATATCTAATTTAATATATATAATTAGTATTTTATTAATACAAACATAACGAGTGTTCTTTAATTTGATTATTTTTGTTGTTGGATAATCAGGTGAAGCATTGGGTGCTATTGGAGATACATCTGTTATACCACTGTTAGATGAATATAGTAAACATCCCATACCTGAAATTGCAGAAACCTGTGAAATAGCTTTAGAACGTCTTAAATGGTTACAATCAAATAATTGTAAAAAAGATGTATTGAAAAGTCCATATATGTCTATTGATCCTACTCCAGCATCAGAAACTACTGATGTTCATAGTCTAAAAGTAACATTACTCGATGAAAGTAAATCATTATTTGATAGATATCGTGCTATGTTTGCTTTAAGAAATTTACGAACACCAGAGAGCATTATTGCGCTTGGTAAAGGTAAAAAGATTAAATATTTCATACACTTCATACATCATACAATAAAAATCATTTTATAATATTAAAACTTGTATCTTTGCAGGCTTAAAAGCAGGCAGTGCATTATTTAGACATGAAATTGCATTTGTTCTTGGTCAACTTCAAGAAGAAATTTCTATACCATATTTAAAAGCATCATTGGAAGATACAGAAGAAAATGAAATGGTACGTCATGAATGTGCTGAAGCATTAGGTGCCATTGCTACTCCTGATTGTCTTCAAATTTTAAATCAATATCTTCAAGATAACAAACAGGTTGTCAAAGAAAGTTGTGTTATTGCTTTAGATATGTGCGAGTATGAAAACAGTTTAGAATTTCAATATGCTAATACATTGACCAAAGTTGAAGCATAAAACATGATTGATATTTTATCTTATGGATAAATGTTTTACATTGCAAAAAATAATCCATATTATACATAAATGACAAGTCGAATGTTTGATTTAACATATTTTGTACTTATGTAAATAATAAGGATTGATATTTTAACATTAAATTTTAACATGGACGAGTTAAATGATTCTTTGTGGTACAATATTATGTAAGATGTAATTCTATTTTGTGAGTTAACATCATAAAATATATGATATTTTGAAACCGTGTGATATAATACATAAAGTATTAGTACGTTTAGTATTAATGTAATAAAAATACATAAATGTTGACACTTAAAGCATATATTTCAATTTGAATAGATATTTATTTGAAGTAACAAAAGAACAACATCAAAGGTTATGCAAAAATTTGCTACTAAATAATATTATAAATTTATTTTGTTAAATAATTATTACAAATAAATTCTCAATGATAAGTTCTCGTGTGATTTAGCAGAATAAAAAAATCTATAAAATATAATTTCATATGAAAAGATTTGATTATACTATTTTAACATAAAAGCATTCATTCAAATATTAGCTATTTAAATTGAATAAGCAGCAGAGACTGTCATTGGACTACTCATTGAAGTATTGGTTAAACAAATAACGTTATTAGGAATATTGAAGAACGTTTGTGTTGAAATATGGAAATAGATAGAAGATATCATCTATCTAAAGATGACAAATAATATCTTATAGTGTTCATTTTATTCAATAGTATATTATCCTTAAAGTATAATTACTAAAGGTAATACTATCTAAACATGTTAATTGTTCTATATATTCATTTGTTAAATAGTTCTAATGTAAGGAAAGAACAAAATAATAATATAGAGAGAGAGAGAGAGAGAGAAGAAAAGATGTAATGCGAAAAAAATCCTACATAATGAATAAAAGAAAAAGACGACGGTTCCTTGTTGGTGGGAGAATGGTATGAGAACCTTGTGAGGGATAATTTGTGAGAAGGCGGGCGGCCATGGTTGAACGGACCTATGAGACCAGTGAAAGAGTACCGCCTATTTATAACGAAAGAACATTATCTTCTGGTTTAACCATTTTAGAGATCAAGCGAATTGAATGAAAGTACGCCGTCGCGTGGCACGTGATATATCATAGAAAATTATATAAAGACTAGTGAGATACGAATGAAGCGTTTAGTCTGTTGCTATCTCTGATACGGAATAGTTACGTACAAGATCTTCGATCGATTAGATTTACAATCTGCGTTGACAAATTTCAATATCAATTTTTTCAAACGTTTAATTGAATATTCATAATTTGATCAAAAAAAAAAAAAAAATCCTTTGAAGGAAGAAAAATTCATTAAAATTAAAATCAACGGTTTCGAGTCGTCGAAACCACTTTTTTTTTTGTTCTTTTTTTTCTTTTTTGATTTTAAACAAAGAGAAAAAACGAAAACTGCCGCCCAAGACGTTTTTTTATAAAAAAAGAAAAATACTGTTACAAATTAAATAGATTAAATAATGGCGTCTTATAAAAATATGTTTGGATTATGGTCGAATGATTCGAAACTTGACGAAAAACTTGGACTTACGGAAGGACAAAAAAAACTTGTACAAAATACTTGGGCTATTATAAAGAAAGATCAAGTTGCATCCGGTGTTGCTGTTATGTTGGCGTAAGTATTTTTTTTCTTCTTCTTCTTTTCTTTTCTTTTCTTTTCTATCTTTATCAATATTTTAACATTATTGTATTATTTCAATATATTTTAATATAATGCACGAGATTTTTAATTAATGATTGATTACAAAATTTGAATTAAATATTATTTTGACATAAAAAAACTTATTGCGACAATGATAATGTGCGATAACTGTCAAAACGATAAAAATTACTTGTGAAATGTTATTTAAAGAACAAAATATTATATCATTTGTTTCATTATCACATGTTATTATTATTATTATTATTATTATTATTATTATTAATAAACGTATAAATAAAGTGTAACACATTACATGGCGCTGATTTGAAACATTTATCGCTTTAACAACGGCGCGCGCGTTAACGAATATATCGATTTTTAACAAGTAGATATCGATCTCAATCGACCCACACGTGCGTTAATTTGATTAAAGTATTACCATTTGAAATTATACGCCGCGGACATGTTTATGATATTTAATTTAAATTATAATATATATAATTATAATATATTAATTTATAATAATATATTAATATATATTGTAATATATATATTTATTAATATTATATTTTACAATATAATATATTATATTAAAAATCAAATAAAAATATAATATTAAAAATTTACAAACTTTTCTTTCTTTTTCTTTTTTTTTTTAATTTCAAATTCAATTTTTGTAATACGTAATATTGTTTAAATTGTAAATAGTTGCGTAATTATTCCAAAAAATCAAAGTTCAAGATCTTATATAAATACTTCTTAACTTTTATCAAGATATTTTCAAGTTATCGTTCAATATTTCGATAATTTTTCTTATCAAAATAATTTACGCGAATTGGACATATGCGTTGTCGTTGTTAACAAGAAGATTAAAATCAATCGATACCAAATACTAAACCTAATTATTTATACTATATATATATATATATATATATATATATATATAATGATGAATGACATATCCTTAGATAGATCAACACCTGCAATAATCTTTATTCACGATTATGATAATGTATTTTCAATTTAATACGCTGCACGCATATTTTTTTTCTATTATAAATTAATATAATGTATATTAGAATGCTAAGCACGTTTATAATTTTACATGAACGCAAGAAGACTATTTTATCAATGACCGATGACCATCACAATCAACATTACTTTATATTTATTAACACAATCAATCAATGTTATATAATATTAATTTAATAATTCTTATATATCAGAAAATAATAATAATAATAATAATAATAATAATAATAATTAAATGTAATTAACGAAATATCATAATTAAATGTTACAACTGGTTTTTTAAATGAATTCAATATTATATTTAAAAATGTCATCGATATTTTTCTATGAACATTATAATATTTTCTCTTATAGTTATTTTAAGAAACATCCGGAATATCAGCAAAGTTTTAAACCATTCAAAGATATGCCAATAGATGAATTACCTGGTAATAAAAGATTTCAAGCTCATTGCGCAGGTATAATAGCTACCGTAAGTACCGTAATAGATTCTTTGCAAGATTTTGATCTATTGGTAGCAAACATAGAAATTTTTACCGAAAGACACAGGAAACGTGGTCAAAAACAAAAGGATTTTGAGGTATATATATATATATATATATTTGTATATACATTGTCTTGTTAATAAGATTTTGATTAGAAAATTATTAATTAATAAAAGAAAAATCGCTATGCAATTTTGTGATCACATTTTAAGTAAAGTAACATTTTAATTGTTAAACAGGATTTAAAACCGGTAATGGCGGAAGTTATTCGAGAAGCTATTGGAGACGAGTACACACCAGAAGTGGAGGAAGCATGGTCTAAAACATTGGACGTTTTCTTTGCAACAGTATACGCTAATTTGTCTTAAAAAAGAATTATTTTCTTTTGAAATAACACATTCCTTGCATGCATTTTATGAAAATAACAAATATATATATATATATATATATATATATATATACATATATATATGATTATTTTAAAATTAACATTTATTTTGGGATTTACTTTTGAAAATAAGATGAATAATTATTTGTAAAAAAATCATATTTATTATTAACTTCTTCCTTTATCGATTTTTCTGTGTGTTGTTTGTATCTTTTCAAATATAAAATTACATTATTTTTTTTTTTTGTATTTCTGATCAGTCATTGATGCCTATAAATTAGATATAATAATCTGTAACATCGATTAATTATAAAAAAAAAAAAAAAAACAAAAACAATAAAAGATTATTCATCTAATTGTAAGTGTTGAGCTAATAAGATTACTCTATCGCTTATTTTACAGTCTGTTATTTAACTTAAAGTTAAGAAAAAGTCATGAATTTTCATGCAATCGTAAATCATTTCTTTTTTCATCATGTATAAGAAAAATTCGATAAAATAAAATAAAAATAAAAAGAAAAACAATTTCCAAATAAATATTACTTTTCTTGTGCTTATTAAACATTGATTATACAAAGCAGTGTTTTAATACATGCTATTACAAAGCGTTAAATATAACTTGTTTAGTTATTATACACTGCATAATGTTCTGATCATTAAATAATTATTAATGTCATGATTTTACAACAATTTACAAGAGACCAATGTATAAATTGAATATTAAGAGATCGTTTTTTTTTTGTTTTGTTTTTTGTTTCTTTAAGAACACATTGAGCGCTTAATAATAGTAAATATCATATCATTACAATCTACATTCATTATTTTTTACATTTTGTTTTGTTTTTTTTTCGATTTATTATTTATAATAATAATAATAAAAAAAAAACCCTTAAAAAAGAAAGTCTTAGAATATTAAAAAAATTTCCTGAAATAGATGACAAATAATCCATTACAGAGATAATATTAAGAGAAGACCTTGTTTTTGTTTTTCTTTTACTGTTAGAGAAAATGATCAACTCGTAATAATAATAATAATAAGAAAAAATCAATTTGAAATCGTTTGCTATTCATCAAATAATCTCAGGAACTTTTCCAACAAATTAATATAATCATATCACAGTGTAACAATCAGACATTCAATTAGATTTTGTATGTAGCAATTGTGTCTGTACAAATCACGTATCACAAAAGTTATGTATTCATCATGTTTCTTTTTTTTTTTTTTTTTTTTTTTTTTTGTTAAACTATATTTGCAAACAGAAATAGTTTGCGAGAGACATTTAATACCACCCATATCTCTTAGATTGTGCACACATATTAATAAAACTAATTTTTTTGTATGCGTCGTTGAGATAAATCATAGCAAACATCAAGTAGATACACTCAACTTGTTAAAGTTCATTTTTCTTCCTAAAAATACCATAATATTTAATGGGGTTTTCTTTTTCCCTATGTTTATTCATTCAATACCATGGGCAAAAATCATTACTAAACCAGGTTCAATAATCATATCTTCTGGCATATGCGTATTATCGCAATGGAGGACTAAAACAGCCTGCTTTCCAGGCACTCTCTTGCATATGTAATATTCATATTGTCTTCTGGAATTTTGTCTAGTTTCTAAAGAATTTAAACCCGATGGCCATTTTCTTTCATGACAATTTTCCATTAGTTCATCGATTATGTGAGGTGGACAATTATTTTCTGACAATGTTCTTTTCACCATTATCTACAAGATTATAACAACAATAATAATAATATGTTTTAAAATCATTATTATTGAATAAAAAGTTATTCAAATGTATCCCAATGTTAGGATATACAATACCTGCAACGATTCATCAGGAGTTGAGATCATACCACCCCATCTTGTAACTCTGGCACGTGGAAGAGTTGCAGACCATCTTACAACTTCGTCTCTTTCCATTTGATCAGCAATAGCTCTCATTGCTGGATTCGATATTCTTAATGCTCTCATAAAATCTTTTAATAAATGTATTTCTCGCTTATGTTCATTTATTTGAAGTTGTTGTTCACCTAATTCTCGTTTCATATCTGTTAACTTTTGCTGTTGAGACTGAATTAAATTTCTTAATTCTCTTACGCAATTGTGATCTTTCAACTCATCTTTTGGAATGATGAGACTACAACCTTGTTCGCATAACATTGGTCTTTTAGGGTTATATTCGCATTGTTCCAAATGTGATACTAAACTGTCCAACTTGATGCTTACTTGACATCCATACACAATATTATCGCAAGTAATACATAAGCGAGCCAATAAATTTCTAAGAATTCTTGGTACTGTTCTTAGTTGTGCAGAGGTAATTGGAGTACGATCCAAAGGACACGTTGGTTGTCTGTTAATCCATTCGTTGATACATGAACGACAGAAGGCATGTTCGCATACAGGAGCCTGCAACATATTCCTCACCTGCCAATCCTCATAAGCTTATAAGACTATTCTGCAAAACTGCAAAACTTCATTGAAAGTAGTATAACAATAAAATAATCATCGTTTAAAATGTATAATTACATTTAACTAAACGTCACGGATAATTTATCTAAAAAGAAAAAGAAAAAGAGAAAGACAATAATAAAAAAAAATAAAGATGTAACCAAGAAAAAAAAAAAAAAAGGTTATTACTCACAAATGAATGAAACGATTGTGGTAAATGAAATATCATATAAACAATGAAGAACGATTTATTCGATAATACACAACAAATCAAATAATAACGTTAAAATGTAAATGAATAAATAATAAATTGTACATAATGTGAAAGCTAGGTTAGTCTTGGCAGTTCGCAATTAGATACATTTAATAAATATATTGATAGAATTTTGTAAGATAAATTTTGACAATACCTGAACGGGATCTTCAAGAACACCGGAACAGATTGGACAAACGAGTTCCTCGTCCACTTCTCCTTGAAAACGGTTCACATCGAACCCCATAACGTGAAACTTTGTGCCTTATATTAATTAACTAAATACAACACCTTTTCCGTTACTTCCTTCGATATTTCGCATAAAACTGGACAAAGATCGATCGGTCCCCTTCGAAGTTTGGTTTCGATGGCACAGATCAACGAGAAAGCTCAAATATACGATATATGTGTATACATATACATGTTCATATGCACATATGTATGCGTTATATGTACCGTTACTTTTGAAGAGGTGAAGAGACACGCTCTACGTTTACAAATATTTTTAACGAAAATTATTTGACAATTAACATTAATCGCTTTACTATCGAAATGTGAAGAAAGAATTATTGCAATAACACACATACAAGTTATGTATACATAGGACACACACACCACAAATTGTGAAACTACATACGTGAATCGTACACTTACGTTGTTACTTTTGATATGTAATCTTCAGAATAAGTGCAACAATTTGTCTTTTAAATTTAATTTATTTACGATTAAATCATCGATAATCGAAAACTCATCATACTTTCGTATATCGATTTAATTAAGATTTTTATTTCGCGAGATTAATTTTTGCACACAGTACACTTTTATGTTTATAATTTGTTAATATTCAATTATTTTATATAAATAAATAAGAAATAATGATAAGTTTAACACACAATGACAATTGAATGGATTTAATTTATATTATTTTATTTCTAACGTAACGTCACCAAATTCATATAAACATTACTTTACTCTTTATTCAAGTAACCTATTTATAATTTTGATTTTAATGTCGATTACGTCGAAGTTATTTCATTTATTATTAATATAAAACTTGTAATTTTTTAATTTGACATTTTATTCAAGTAGTTAACTTGATTGAATGAATATATACATGCACATATATATATTCTGAATGTGAATTTATAAGAACAATTTGGGTCACAAAAAATGAAAGCGTTTAGTTCGTGAAAGTGAGGGCGCTGCATTACCAGCAGTTACCTTCAGATTGTTAGTGATATCTATTCATTGACATCTAGTCATATGTCAGAATTAATATTTTGTTAAAGTATTGTAACGTCGTACTATTTATATTACAATGTAATATCTCTTGTTTGGTGTTTTATTAATTGATTAAATATACGCAAGACATTGGATAAGACAAATATTTGATATTTCTTCTTTTATAGTTTTATTAAATTCAAGTAATAATAAAATTGTTCTAATCAAATAAACAAATAAATTATGGCAGCGAATTATTACTTTGCTATTGTTGGTCATGCCGATAATCCATTATTTGAAATAGAGTTTAATAATTCTAGTAAGGATACTAAGGTTTGTTTATTTAACCAATATAAATTTACATTTATATTAAACAATATTTAAAATAATGAACAAAATTAATTGATTTTATTAACATATCATTGTTTAAATAGAAAGAAGATCATACACATTTGAGTCAATTCATAGCTCATGCAGCACTTGATCTTGTCGATGAGCATACATGGAAAACAACAAATATGTATTTCAAAGTTGTAGATAAATTTAATCAATGGTTTGTAAGTGCATTTGTAACAGCAACACATATACGATTTGTTATGGTACATGATAGTAAAAATGAAGATGGAATTAAAAATTTTTTTAATGAAATGTATGAAACGTACATAAAGGTAATAATATGCAACAATTTATGCATTAATAATCCTTTTGATACTACCGATGATGACTATGCATTATCGAATAATTCTAATTATTGTGTTATCCAATCAAATTTTAATTGTATCGAAAGGTTTATAACAAATCATTCATAGAATTATTAAATTGTTGATTATTTGTTTCAGTATTCCATGAATCCATTTTATAGATTAAATACACCTATTAAATCTGTTGGTTTTGAAAAAAAGGCACAGCTATATGGCAGAAAATATTTATCTTCGTAATAAATTTCATTCAAAATAATAATAATAATAATAATAATAATAATCTATATTTTCTTATTTATAAAAATATATTATATTTAAATATTATATACATTTATTTTGTGCTTTAATACTATTTAGGAATCCTTAACACTAGAAACGAATAATAATTCTTTATTTATATTCCATTTCCAAGTCTTGAATCTAAAATTTAGAATAATGTTATACATTATAAATGATTATTTTAATAAGCAAATCATTAATAGCTCACCTAGAATATAAATATAATTATTAATTACCTCTTGAGCTTTCTGCATCTCTTGAGTTAGCAAATTATCCAATATTTCTTGAAATCTTTGTTTCTTATTCTCTATATTTGCAATTTCAATTTCTTGCTGTTGCCTTCGTTGGCGCAGTTCTTCTAATTCAGCATGAAGCGTTGCAAGTCTCGTTTGTAATAATGACTCTAAAATAATATATATATATATATATATATTTTTTTTTAAGATTATAGGAGATAACATATTTTAAACATAATTAATTACCTTTAGGCATAGAAATAGATGGAGATTCTGAAAAATCGTCACGCATATCAGAAACAATAAATACTGAATGAAACTGTTGTAATTTTGGAACTTTAAATTCTGTTGCGTCTGTCGGTTTTTCTTCATCAGCTTCAGAATTGTTTTCATTTTGGAACATTTCATTACTACTAGCAGACCCGGCCACGCGTTGCTGTGGCTAAGGTTTACGTTACATTATATTGTTGTTAACTATTCAATACAATGAAATTATTATTTACGATTAAAGACAGGAAACAGTTATAGCCGGTATAAAAATCCATTGGAATCGGGATTTGAACCTTAAGTAAAAAAAATTGGAAAACGATTGATAAAAATTTCAATGCCTGACAATATTGACATACCTTATCCATTGCACCGATAGTAATTTTTGAATGCGCAGAGTAATCAATATCTGATGCATAATTCGAAGCAAGACGAGCAAATGATGCACGTTTTAATGAGAGTTTGGTCCGCTTAATCTGTCGTTCTCGAGCTCGAGCTCGCTCTCGAGCTCGTTCTCGAGCTCGTGCTCTAGCTAAGTTTTGTTCACGTACCGCTCTTGATCTTTCTCTAGTTTGTCGCAGACGTTCTTCACGCTGTTCTTGGGATTCGTTAGCACGATGCTCTGCTGTTCTGGCTCTTTGAGCCGCATTCCTTGCTGTAATTTGTTCTGCTGACAGTTGAGCTCTTTGAATACGTTTGCGTCGTGCCTCTTTGCTTCGCGCATTAGAGAGGTTAGATTTTTTTGGTGGCATCTGGAAAGTATATACTTTGATTACAACACTTCAATCCTGTCATAATGATATAACAATAATATAATTATGTGACTTGATATGATAATACTTACATGTATTTAATTTAATAGAATAGTTTTAACACAATGAAACACTAAAAATTGCAAAACAGAGAATAATTGAATTTCACTGTATTGAGTTTACAATAATGTCAATTTTACTTATTTAGCCAGAGCAACACGTGGCTAATTATGATAGCACCAAATATACGTGGTTATACTAATAAATTGTAAGTTACACAAAACGTTTGTACTGTGACAGCTTGCAACACCTAAAGTGACGTCGAATGGTGGCGCGTCAGTTCCATAGCAAGTTCAGCCAACTTAAGAAAAATACGATTGGTATGACTGTAAAAAAGTTCTACTTCACATGTCTGCATGACACTACGTTGTACAAAACACATAATTTAGTTCCGTGAAAAGACGCATAATATATTTTTTATAATAAATATATATTTGTAAAATTTAACTCTTCTATATTATTTGTAGTTATTAAGATACCCGATAGTTACAGTACTTTTCCCATGGCGCCATCTATTGGATACTTACTCGATCCCGTTAACGAATTACCTTATACCGCCATCTATTAAAATCTTATCGTACTGAAAGAGATAATCATGACTCTTTGTTAATAAACAAATAATTGCGTTTATAAATTGAGATTTAAAATCTTATCTTTCAAGTTGGATGAAACTGTACACAGAGTGCAAAATTTTAATAAAATCATTTCAGTAATTTAGAAGTCCATTGCAAACAAACAACGTGACACGTAATTTATATATATTTAAACAATATAAAACTATATTATTTAAATATTATATACATTTGTTTTGTTTTAATACCATTTAGGAATCCTCAACACTAGAAACGAATAATAATTCTTCATTCGAATTCCATTTCCAAGTCTTTAATCTAAAATTTAGAATAAAATTAAACATTATAAATGATTATTTTAATAAGCAGATCATTAGTAGCTCATCTTGAATATAAATATAATTATTAATTACCTCTTGCACTTTCTGCATCTCTTGATTTGACAAATTATCCAATACTTCTTGAAATCTTTGTCTCTTATTAACTATATTTACAATTTCAATTTCTTGCTGTTGCCTTCGTTGGCGCAGTTCTGCCAATTCACCATGAAGCGTTGCAAGTCTCGTTTGTAATAATGAATCTACAATAATAGATATGTTTTTTAGATTAGAGGAGATAACATATTTTAAACATAATTACCTTTAGACACCGAAACAGATGGAGATTCTGAAAAATCGTCACGTATATCAGGAACAATATATTCTGAATGAAACTCTTCTAATTTTGGAACTATAGATTCTGTTGTGTCTGTCGGTTTTTCTTCATCAGCTTCAGAATTGTTTTCATTTTGAAACATTTCGTTACTAGGTTCTAATTTAGGAACTATCAATTCTGTTGTGTCTGTCGGTTTTTCTTCATCAGCTTTAGAATTGTTTTCATATTGAATCATTTCGTTACTAGGTTCTAATTTTGGAACTATCAATTCTGTTGTGTCTGTCGGTTTTTCTTTATCAGCTTCAGAATTGTTTTCATTTTGAAACATTTCGTCACTAGGTTCTAATTTTGGAACTATCAATTCAGTTGTGTCTGTCGGTTTTTCTTCATCAGCTTTAGAATTGTTTTCATTTTGTAACATTTCTTTACTGCTACCAGACCCGGCCACACGTTGCAGAGGCTAAGTTTTACATTACAATATATTTAATACAGTGAAATTATTATTTACGATTAAAGACGTAAACGTTATAACCGATATAAAAATCAACAGGATCGGAATTTGAACGTTAGGTCAACATTTGAAAACGATTGATATCTATCTAAATAAATTGTAAATGCCTGACACTACGACTAACGATTGATATCTAAATAAATTTTCAATGCTTAACAACACTATTGACATACCTTATACATTGTACCAATAGCAAGTTTTATATGCTCAGTGTAATCCATAACTGGTGCATATTCGAAAGCAAAACGAACAAATACTGCACGTTGTAATGAGCGTCTGGACCGCTGTCTCTCTCGTTCTTCTTCTCGTGCTTTATCAATGTTTCGTTTACGTACCGCTTTTGACCTTTCTCTACTTTGTCGCAGACGATCATCACGCTGTTTTTGGGATTCTTGTGCACGACGTTCTGCTGTCCTGAGTCTTTGAAGCGCATTCCTTTCTGTGATTTGTTCTTCTGACAGACGAGCTCTTTCAAGACGAACGCGTCGTGCCTGTTTGGTATGAGCATTATTGAGGTTAGATTTTTTTGGTGGCATCTGAAAAGTATATACTTTGACTACAACACTTCATTCCTGTTATAATGATATAACAATGATATAATTATGTAACATGATACGGTAATATTTACATGTATTTAATTTAATAGAATAGTTTTAATAAAGCACTAATAACACAATAAAGCACTAAAAATTGCAAAACCACAAAAATATTTTTATTTCACTATATTACGTTTACGATAATCTCAATTTAACTTATGTAGACTTAGCAACACGTGGCCGATTACGCTAGCACCAAATATAAAATATAACCAAATATATGTGATTATACTTATAAATTGTAAGTTACACAAAACGTTTATACTTTTAACATTGCGTCATCTCTTGGATCAATCCAGTCAACGAATTACCTTATACCGCCATCTGTTAGAATCTTACCGAACTAACAGAGATAATCATGACTCTTTGTTAATTAACGAATAATTCGCAATAAAATAATAATGCGATTATAAATTGAGATATAAACTGTCTATCTTTTAAGTTGGATGAAACTGCACACGATGTGCAAAACTTTATTAAAACCGGTTCAGTAGTTTAGGAGTTCATTGCTAACAAACAACGTGACACGTAATTTATATATATTAGAAAAATAAAAAAATATATTATTTAAATATTATATACATTTGTTTTGCTTTAATACTATTTAAGAATCCTTAACACTAGAAAGGAATAATAATTCTTCATTTATATTGCATTTCCAAGTCTTTAATCTAAAATTTAGAATAAAATTAAACATTATAAATGATTATTTTAATAAGCAAATCATTAATTGTTCATCTAGAATATAAATATAATTATTAATTACCTCTTGCACTTTCTGCATCTCCTGAGTTAACAAATTATCCAATATTTCTTGAAATCTTTGTCTCTTATTATCTATATTTACAATTTCAATTTCTTGCTGCTGCCTTCGTTGGCGCAGTTCTTCTAATTCAGTATAAAGCAATGCAAGTCTCGTTTGTAATGAATCTAAAGTAATATATATATATTTTTAAGATTATGGGAGATAACATATTTTATACATTATTACCTTTAGGCATAGAAATAGATGGAGATTCTGAAAAATCGTTACGTATATCAGGAACAATATATTCTGAATGAAACTCTTCTAATTTTGGAACTATAGATTCTATTGTGTCTGTCGGTTTTTTTCCATCAGCTTCAGAATTGTTTTCATTTTGGAACATTTATTAAAATAATATACATAATTTTGTATATTATGGAAGATAATATATTTTAAACATAATTTTACCTTTAGACAACGAAACAGATGGAGATTCTGAAAAATCGTCACGAATATCAGGTATAATATATTCTGAATGAAACTGTTCTAATTTTGGAGCTTTCAATTCTGTTGTGTCTGTCGGTTTTTCTCCATTAGCTTTAGAATTGTTTTCATTTTGGAACATTTCTTTACTACAGTCTATTTCAGGATCATATTCAAACTCGAGACGATTAAGTGATACTCGTTTTAATGCTCGATAAACTTGCATTCGCCGTCGATTACGTTCTCTGCGTTCGTTTGTCGCTCGTTGACGTGCCTCTCGTTGTCTTAATGCATTAGCACGAAGACGTTGATTGCGTTGCTCCAAAGTTTCATTTGCACGTGCAAATGCAACTCTTTCTCTTGTTTTTACATTATCCGCCAAGTGTTCTTTTATTTTTCTTTTCAATCGACGATCACGGACCAATTTCGTCCCTCGAGTATGTCGACCAATATTTTTTGCACCTTTAAGAAGACGTGGCATTTTTCTGTAAAAAAAAACAAAAGAAAATACTGTAAAATAGTACACAACGAATATAAGTTGAAACTTATTGAAGATGACATTTTAATTAAGTAACAAGACTGACAAGATTATTGTACCAAATTTTAGATTTAAAAAAAAAATGTGTAATTTTATTTTATTGCTTTTTTTAAATTTAATATTTCCAAAAAGGAATGATTTTAAATAAAAAAACAATTGAAAAAAATTTGTTAGGAAATCAATTAGATACAAAAATAAGTTCGTAGGTTAGGGTGATTGTTAATCAACGCACGTATAAATTTGATAGAAAATTAAATAAAATACTCACTTCAATTCCGCACTAAATTTGCAATATGTATAGTTTTTTTATGCATACTTCCAAACTCTTCAAACACAAGTTAGATCTTAAGGTAATATTTCAATTAGCAGACGATTTTTTGTAAGACAATAACAACAACACGCAATTACAAACTATTTTCCTGAATTTAGTCGCAGCACTAACTGTCGGGACAAACTAGAATTATATAATAATGAAATAATACTGCGATCGTAGCGCAGTCTGCCGGATCCAATGTAAAACATTTCAAAATCAACAATTTGTAAATTAAAAATTAATTAAATAAGCAATTTAAATTGGATCGAATTGTAAATCTAAACCATTCTCGAATCCATCTGTAGACACACAGAAAATTTCATTAAAATCGGTCCAGCCGTTTAAGAGGAGTTCAGTGAGATACACACGCACAGAAGAATTATATATATAAAGATATACATTTATTTTGCTTTAATACTATTTAGGAATCCTCAACACACTCGAACGAATAATAATTCTTCATTTATATTCCATTTCTAAGTCTTGAATCTAAAATTTAAAATAATATTATACATTATAAATGTGATTATTTTAAACAAATCATTGGTAGTAGCTCATCTAGAATATAAATATTATGAATAATATAATTATTAATTACCTCTTGCACTTTCTGCATCTCTTGAGTTAACAAATTATCCAATATTTCTTGAAATCTTTGTTTCAGTTTAACATTCTCTATATTTGCAATTTCAATTTCTTGCTGCTGCCTTCGTTGGCGCAGTTCTGCTAATTCAGCATGAAGCGTGGCAAGTCTCGTTTGTAATGAATCTAAAATAATATATATATATATATTTGTAAGATTATGGGAGATAACATATTTTTAAACATAATTACCTTTAGGCATCGAAATAGATGGAGATTCTGAAAAATCGTCAGGAATAATATATTCCGAATGAAACTGTTCTAATTTTGGAACTTTAGATTCTGTTGTGTCTGTCGGTTTTTCTCCGTCAGCTTCAGAATTGTTTTCATTTTGGAACATTTCTTTACTAAACTCTGTTACAAGGCCACAACTCGTAGTTGCATTATTACTCGATCGTTCAGAGTATGCAGCCTGCATGGAATTTGAATCAGTTGCTCTGCTATCACCTGATAATCTACTATTTTCATCAAGTTCCATAACATTTATGTTTGCTTCTTCATCATCATCTTCACTATCACTCACAGGTTCACCAAATATGTCATGTTCAGCTATTAACATAACATAATTATATAATATAATAATATTGATTAAATTGATGATCAAGTTATATACTATTTACTGAATACTTACCGACATCTAAACTTTGTGTTGTGTTACCATTATTATTATCCCTTCTAGATTTAACAGTTCCAGATGATGATACTTTACTTGGCTTAGATTGGTCCTCATCTTCGCATATCACTTCCCATTTAACATTGACTGCTTCATTATCAACTCTTAATAATCTTTTTACCTCTTTCTCTATTTCTGGTGCTTCTACATATTTTTTCTTTAAAGTTTTTCTGAATCTTCTACGTCTTACATTTTTTGTTGGTGGTGTTATACCATGCGGCCATAAAAACTTCTTATCAACCTTATTAGGATCTTTTTTCTTTTGTCTCATAGGTGATTCTTCATCTGTAGTAGTATGATCATCCTCTTCTTTGCATAATAATATCTATTTATAATAACAATAATATTAATATATTATTTATTCATTTTATTTTCTCTTAATATTATTATATTACCTGACATATGTCTGCTGTTTTATAAAAACTTTTATTATCGATGGTTTTTAAAGATTCTACAATGGTAGGCAGATCAACCATCTAAAACATGAAAAAAATTATTTTTTTGTCAAGAGTTATTAGAAGAGAAAAAAAACACATATGTCATTATTTTTTAAATAATAATTAAAAGAAATAATAAATACCTTGGCATGCAGTAACCAATGATCTAATCTTACTTCGCCATATCGCATATCAGGTTCTAATTTAATACTAAGTCTATCTTTTAAGGAAGCTCCACTTCTCAATGTTTCTCTTAAGACTTTTGCTGATTCCTAATAAATTATTAAATAATGTAATATATATATTGTATACAATTTGTGTAAAGAATTTACAATTAGTAAATAAAAATATTTTAAGGTTAGAAATTAGAATAAAACATACCGGTGGTAATCTCATGATAAATTGACATTCTAAATCTGCTGGTTCTACACGATTTTTATTATCAGGAGGTGGGTGTCGATTCATTTTTTGTTTTTAATTATAATATAAAATTCAATTAATCTAAACTATACACTCGAAGCATATAATTGTAACTAAGTTTAATGCAGTGATGCCAAGCGTTGTATTACTTCTACGCATGCGCACTATCTAGTCCTCAGTAACGTGTATACTTCACTTGAATATGGGGTTTCATTGACCCTCGTGACAATTGAAATATTGTAAACTAAAAAGGGCATCTTACGCGTACCTACTGTTACACATAGATACGTCTATGGAAACAAATGCTGTCTAGCTGTGACATTGCTGCGCATGAGCATACGCATGCGCACGAAGACTCCCACGTGAGAGGAAATCTCACGTCCTGGCATCACTGGTTTAATGATAGTTTTCATTTTTTTCTAAGTGATAGAGGGCGTTGGTGTCATACTTAAATATGGTGGGGAGAAATTGTTGAGTACATGTTTGCAGTCTTGCAGGATATTTTGAAACATATGTAAAATAAGAAAATATATAAATAAAAAAAGAATAGAATTATAATTATGGAGTTCACATTTTATACATGCCTAGTATAATATATAAAAGTGTTTCTATGATTCATGGTCTAATAATTGGCAAGCAGAATAACACAAGTCTAACATTCTTTCAAAAAGTTCCCTCTCAAATTTACATGTCATGCGCATTAGCAAACATCAAAGTGGCACAATAACGGGATTTTAACGGATTTAAAGCTGCTATTATAACTTTGATAGGGATATTTTACTCGCCATTTTTTTTTCAATTCTTTTTTTGTTATATGATTATTAATTATCAATTTATGCTTGTTATTGTCAACAATGTGTTTATATAATTCAAGGATAATAATGTAGATCAATTCATAGATCAAAATGTTTAATGTCTCAGCACATTGTACAAAAATATTAACAAATAATATATATTAATAAAATATATCTCAAATATAAAATACAAATTATATTATGTTAGAATGAATGAAATATATATTATCATTTTTCATTTAAAATCATTTATGAATAATATAATAAAGAAGACAACGCTTCATAGCCCATAATTGCAAATCCAAAACCAAAAGACACAGCTCTAGCAGGTTGTTGTGGATAAATAGCATAAGATAAGGTGTGTATAATTCTAGAAATCACAAAGCTTCTGATTAACATTCCAGCCAACCAAGGTGATGGATTCGTTGTTAACCAAATATAGGTGATTATAAACCAAGGAAGGATATTTTCCAGATCATTTTGATGATTTCTGCGTACACGTTCTATATCAGGATCAACGATTCCCACTTTAGAATTCTTCATGAATTGCGTATCATCAGGATTTAGGAAGATCTTAAAAGTAATTCAAATATAGTCATTATTATAATAATATAAAATATAATTAATATTAATTTATAATACCTTTTTGTGAAATCTGTAACTAATAGTTAGGAGCACCACTCCCAGCATTTTAAAAATTAATACACTACTCCAAAATCCAAATACTTTCATAACTTCTGTATTAATTGCCATGTTTAAATATTGGCTTTATATTACAAATGTTTAAGATATGTTGAAACGTTCAAGAATAATATTAGACTGAATGCCGGATAAGTAGTACGAAGTATTATATATACATCATGTCTACCACACTACACACACAAATATGTCAACCGGTTTTTTTATTACATTGATGTGAATATTAAACGATATGACTTAGCAATTTTGTGTGATGGAATTTTGAAAAAAAATATATGTGTTAAGAATTAATGACATCAGTAAAATATTTTTGTTAGTACTTATTTTATTTCGTATATATTTCTTAAATAATTTTTTAGGAGGAAAATAAAATGTAAGATTTATTTTGTAATGGTATCATATCTTACATTCATTTTAATATTATTTTATTTAAATATGTATAAATATTTAAATACAAAAGTATCTAGAAATAACTATACTAGAATCGGTTACAAAAGATTGCAATAAGCAACCAATGAAAACAATATTGTTAAGTATAGTCAATTATATTATTAATTTAATATTATAAGTTAAGAAATAATACTTCTTTCTTTCTTACAATGAATCGAAATATTCTAATATTTTTAATTGCTAATTGAAATATTTCTTATTAAATGAATATTCACCTTTAAATAAGACAAACGATAAATAGATTTTTTATTGGTTCAAAATACCAAGTCTTTCTAAAGGAAAATTTTGATTAGCGAAATCATTGAAAGAGCGCCACATTTGAATTTCCCTGGATAAATATCAATAATGAATTATAGAAAAAAGTGATTGATGTTTGAAAGTAAAATAAATTGAATGAAATAATTTAAAGGAAGAGTTTATAAAAGTAATGTAAAAAAAAGGATAAAAATAAAATTGAATTTTATCGTTGATCAGGGAGATATAGAAAACAAAGGTATGCGCCATTTAATGGTTTTCGATAAGCGCATGCGCATAATAAGAACGACGCTGACGCAGAAGGTACGTCAGCTGTTTTGTTAAAACCGTAGTGCATGTGACGGGAATGGTGTATTGTTGACTGCAGGGGCATTTAGCAGATCGTAAATTGGATCGTATCCCTTTGTTTATTTGCCACGAATTAGAAATTGATATTAGACTTATTATAGTCCTTGTTATTAAGTGAAATAGTTTTGATAGTAAACTCGAAGTAGGCAAAAAGGCGTTAGTGGTAAAGTAACATTTCACGATTCTATCGGTTGGTTTGAACTCGTCGGTCGAATTGATTCTTCGAGAGAACGGAGTTGTGAGTTCGCAAAGGCAGTCGGTACGATCACGTCACTGTTCTGGCGACTACTCTGGGAAGCTTTCGAGACTTTCGTCTTTCTGGAACGGACTGCGGTTGTGATTCCAGAGTCGAAAAATATGGCACAACCAACGAGCAGCGCATTACGAGCCCTTGCCCTCGAATACAAAAGTCTTCAAGAGGAACCTGTCGAAGGTTTTCGCGTTAAACTCGTTAACGAGGACAACATGTTCGAATGGGAAGTTGCGATCTTCGGTCCTCCAGACACGCTTTATCAAGGAGGCTATTTTAAGGTGAGTAAACTTCATACCGCTTATGTTATGCGATTTATATTTAGTGCATTTTTCACCATCTATTTATAAATACTCTAAGCCCCGAAATTTTACACCGATATGTCAAAAAAAAAAACATTCAATTCTCATTTCTTGGTTATGTTTCATCGACTTATCTCCAAGTGCACCTGTCATATTCTTTCCGGATTGTAATCTTTTAAATTCGGATACGTCAAAAAAAAACATTCGATTCTGACTTTTTGGTTATGTTTCACTGACATATCTTTAAATGTATCTGTCTTTTTCTTTGTGTTTTTATTGACTCAATTCGTAAACATACGTCGTCTTTCGAAAACCACAATCCTAACTTTCTATCTCTATTCCATAATTTTTATTAACATATAAATCTATTTGATCATATTTTATAATATTGCAATGCATTGATTTAAATCGCATAGAATACATAAACAGTGTGAGTACTATATTTATCAGTATGTATCCATTTAATAATTGTACTTTTTAAAATACAATCAAAACAAATAGACAATGTTATTAATTAAAAATCATTGTGCAGATATATAAACAATAATATATATTTACAACTCTTTAATAATATTCTTGTTATACCTATTGCTACTTAATTCTTGACAACCTGCAAGTGTATAAATGAAAAACAGAATAGTTAATTTTTTTACCAAAGTTATTTCTTATGAATTTTTTTTTTTCTTTTTTAAACATCTACTTAAGCTATAGCAATAAATGAATATTATCATTTATGAATGATTAAAAAACATGTTTTGCCTATCAATAGATATTATTTTGTAATTTTTTAATAAATTACTTTTTATCTAGAATTATAAATCAAATCTTTCATAAAGTTGTATACACATACGTACACGTGTGCCCATATCATAATGCTTTTTGTTTCTTAACCTTCATTGAAATATTTATACTATTAGAAAAGTATATCATTGACGATTCTGTGCGGAAAACATTTACACTGCCTTGACAAATCAAAAAGAGCAATCCAACCCGACAGAACGACGAACAATGACGATGACGATTATCGCATTATTTTTCTTTCACTTTGACAATATAGATTTAACGAGGGAGATAAGATTGGTTGTATGGTTTTATTCTTTATCATCGTGTCCTCCAAGAAAAAAAAAAATATATATATATATATTCTGCAAGTTTTATTTTGACTAAAGTCAAAAATATATTCAAACTAAATAATTGCAAATTATTGTACCGATTGTACAAAGCAAAGGAATGGGAGGTGGGGGTGGGGTAGGGAGTGGGGATGATTCGTTATTCTCTATCTCTACCTATCTCCCCTTCTTCTTCTTCTTTGTTTTTATTTCTCTTTTAGATGTCTAATTTATAAACATTAAACGAACGTCGCGCTTTAATTCTCACAAACTCGTTGAGCAATCTTTGCTAAGACCCAAAGATTACCTAACACGGCGAATCAAGCGACCTGCATTTCTTAGCAGATATTAATTCTTCTATCGAGATGCAAGATTCCGTATAAGATAGATCCTACCTGAAAGTATTTACGTTTTAATTGTACAACACAACTCTGAATGTTTAACACTAGATATACCAGACCTGTCATTTTGACTGATCAATTCAAAATGTCTACTTCATGTAATATTTGATTTTTGCAAATAATTTTCAAATGTCTATAAATTCACATTTATCTATTAAAATTATTATTGTTAAACATTTTTTTGTGTGTGTGTTATTTTTTAAAAGGAAATACAGACTATTAGAAGCCTCAAAAAGTAATTGTTTTTTTTTTTGTATACACCAGTCATTTTGACTAGTGTGGTAGAAATATTAAAAATGGTGGTATATCTAGTGTTAAATTGTTTTTCACGTCAATAATATTAAAACCAATATCTTCGGTATTGTTTGCATTTTATCGAATTCATTTCTCTCTACTTATCATTTAATATATTCTTGGCAACAATTTATATTCTTTGATAATCATAAAAGTTTAAATTCGATGAAAATTACCTTGTCAAAATGGTAGGAGTGGGGATATGTGACATGCACATTCGTGTCATTAGAAAAAGCTAACATATTTTATATAATATTGACAAATTCGAATATTACTTTTGATATTTGTAATTTCATATACGCGAGATACCTTTTATCTCTCATATGTGTATGTGTGTGTGTTTGTGTTTTGTATATACGTTGAAGAGAACCGTACTAACGGAGAAAATAACTTTGATTACTTGCTAGCCAGTATAAAATTTTACACGTTCCGTCCGCTTTCTAAACCACTCTCCACTTTGTTGTGTTGTGAACGAGCGCATGCTTATTCACGTAACGTTGTGCATAGTGTATGTATGTGTGTGTGTGTGTCTTCCCGCGGTAAAACAAAGCAGCTGCAATGAAGTTGTTACAACGACGACTACATGAGAAAATAGAAAAATATTGATAAAGAGATAATCAACATTGCAAATATAAATTTATCGAAAAGAAGAAGTAAACTTTGTTTTTATTTTTTATTATTTTATTTCTTTAATTTCTTTCTTTCTCTTTTTTTGTCTGTTTACTTTGAAAATCCCCACTTTTTAAACCACTTAACCACTTTGTTGTGTTGTGAACACGAGCGCATGCTTATTCACGTAACGTTATGCACAGTGTATGTATGTGTGTGTGTGTGTGTCTTCCCGCGGTAAAACAAAGCAGCTGCAACGAAGCTGTTACGACGATTTCATGATAAAATAGAAAAATATTGATAAAAAGATATAATCAAAATTGCAAATATAAATTGATCAAAAAAGAAGTAAACTTTGTTTTTTTTTAAATTATATTTCTTGAATTTATTTCTTTGTTTTTTTTTTTGTTTACTTTGAAAATATATATCCTCGTATCATCAACATTTCAATTAACGTTTTAGTGCTTTAAGCAGTAAAATTTCATATTCAAAGAGAAAACAAGAAAAGACGAAGTTTTAGATAATATTGGATTTAATCTTACGATGATTATCATCTCTGTATTATCTACAAGCTTTATAAAACTTTCTAAATTACGTTTAGAATATATCATCCTAGATTCCTTTTATTATCATTTAAGTCTAGTTAATCTAGATCGAATTAATAAATGTTTTTCAAGTTGGTAAAGCCAAGCTGTTTTCCATTAAGACATTAAGACACTTTTAAAGAAGAAAATATCGAAAGATCGAAAATAAGAAAGGAAATAAGGAAGGAAGGAAAGGAAAGGAAGAATAAGATAGGATAGAAAAAAAAAAAGAAATAAAAGATTCGTTGAAAGTTTAACGATCCACTTCGACTCATCGTGACTCTACGATCTTTTACTTTCAACTTTTATTCGAAACTTTGTTTTTTTTTTTTTTTATTTTATCCACCGTTACCGCAAGTCTCTCGGCGTCGAAAGATCTAATTCACTTGACTTTCACTCGACGTCTCCTCGTTTATTTTTTTTTTTCTTTCTTTCTTTTTCTTTTTCTTTGTTCTCCACAGACTACCGCTATATTCGATCGTAATAAAAATAATACACATACACCTATAGATATATATATAGATATATAGTGATGCCCCTAGCGAAAAGTTTGTACAGATTTATAAATTAATATTACATTTGATAACAAAAATTTTGGTAGAGTATGTACCAAATATATATATGGTACATACTGTACCAAAATTTTATATATATATAAGTTTAATAATAATTTATTATTAAAAAAAAATTTATAATATTATTATAAATTATAATTATTAAAATAAATTATATATATATATATATATACCTATTGAGACTGTACTCAATATACTGTGGGTATATATATCGATATATATCGATTTATGAATATAAGAATATAAAAATTGATAAGAACTTTTTTGGCACAATCCCAATATATATATATATATATATATATAAATTTATTCATACATTTTTACAAAAAAAAAAAAAGAAAGAAAAAAAAAGAAATTTGTATTTTCCACCAATGAGATTTGTCCTTCCCGCCCCTCCCTCCTACCGCCCTCTTTCGTCTCCCTGTTTCTTTTTCTCTTTTTCTCTTTGACTAAGTTTATCTATCCTTTCACCTTAGCCGCAAGAGATGGGTATCGTGAGAGAGCAGTTCGTGTTGATATGTCGTGTGCACTTTCCGTGAAATCGTAACGGCCTTTCCTCAGTCGGTCAATATTCAACGTGCAATATTATATAACGGTGAAACTCAAGCGATTAAAACGCATCCACACCATGGAAAGCGTAATGGCGCGCGGGTGGTAGTTTACTTTAGAAAATGTTATCGAAGAAAGGGATACCAAATGTTTACAAAGAATCTTTCGACTTGATAAAATTTCTCGATTAAATAAAATCTTCAAAAGATACAAAATGTAATTTATTTTGGTTGTTCGGAAAGTAATTTCATTTTTTTTTTCTTTTGTGTGTGTGTGTGTGTGTGAAAATGACAGTTTTCGCTTTGAGGTTAAACATAGATCTTTCAAGTGAGCATAAACAATTACATTTGATAAATCTAACCTCACTTTCCGAACAATCCAATATAGTTTTAGATACAGTCATATTTATATTCTTTCTTCTATCAAATTCATAGGGGAAAATAATATAATTGTATTTGAATATATATATATATAGAAATTATGGAAGATACTTTTAAATGATGAAGTACAAATAGAAGATAAATTGGACATGGTCAGTAGTTAAATCTAGGCCTTTTAAGTGAGTTAATAAACAATTGTATTTGATAAATCTAACCTCACTTTTTCCAAACAATTCAATACAGTTTTAGATACAACCATATATGTATTCTTTCTTCTATCAAATTCATAGGGGGGGGGGGGAAATATATATATGTGATACTTTGAAATGATGAATTAAAAATAGTAGATAAATTAGACATAGTCAGTAGTTATACAATTGTATGGAAAAAAAAGTATTACTGGGTCATTCATGGATTCGTCCTAGATCTTTGAAGAAGAAAATTTCTCTACTTATGATTTTTTTTTTTTAACCTATATCGTATGATGTCCTTTTACGAGTATGCACAGGAACGACGACGACGGCTTTACGTTTTATCTTTTATGTAGGTCACCAAGGATTTGTAGGTCAACCAAAAGCAACTATGATTTCAAGAGAGGGAGAAAGGGAAAGCAAAGAAATATTTCGAATCTCGAGAATTTGATTAAAAAAAAAAAAAAAAAAAGAATAAGAAGAACATATTCGATTTACATATTTTACAAAATGATAATATACAACGAGGGGTACGGGGGGGAAGGTTTAGTTTGAAATTTGTATCAGATGGATAATCAAACTGTTGTTTGATGTATTTATATAAATATCGTTTGACTATTTAAATTCTTAAAAAACACAAATTATCTCTTATTTACTTTGTTTTAACAATAACATTTGAAACGATTATTGTATAACAATTTTTATTAGCATTGAACCTTATTCGGAATGACTTTATAAGAAGATGTGTATGAAGAAGCATATAGGAGTCGATAAAGTTTTATGCGTCACGTGTTGGATATATTGCATTATTAAAGTATCACACTTGATGTTCACATCTGTCCAACGAAACTTTATGTTCATTCTAAACGATTGTGTCGTTGTCGTTGTCGTCGTCATCATCTATGTTATTCACAAAAGTTTTATAGATAAAATTCATATAGATAATTAGTATATCTTTAACATTAATAAAATGAATTAATTCAATTCATTATAAAGATTTAATTATGTACATCATGATCATACAACTATTGAAATCAGTATCGTTATTGTTTAAATAACAATAATAATAAAAAAAAAAAGATAAAAAAAGGGAAGAGAAAAAATACATAGATAAATAAACCTAAAAACACCATCATACAATACACATATGTAAACGTTATCATAAGGTCATATCGATTCTGGTAACAATTTTTCTTGTCAATGTCACGCGATCGTTAACGAGTATGACATTTTTGTATCGTCGATAAGAATGATAGAATAGGATCGATAATATTGTAATGATAATAATCGAGTTATGTTTAAAACTTCGTGGAAAGATCATCACCGGATGTCGATGAAGTTTAAGGATGAGATAGTTCACTTTTATAAATGTTATATATATAGAACAGTAATATAACAAGTGATCTATCTCATATATATATATATAGTATTTTATTTAATTTTATTATAATTATATATTTAATTATTTATAATTTATTATTTATTATATATTATATTAAGAGAGAGTATTAATATTAATATAATATATATTGTATTTGACAAATCTAACCTCACTTTCCGAACAACCCAATATATTATACTTTTTTTCAGAGAAAGAAAAACATATACACAAACAACAACAAACACACACGTATGGACGACATTTATTCTGCACTCAACACACGTTTCATTTTTCATTGACCCAAAGCACGCATAATATAGGTGAAACGCGATGCCAATTTGTTCTTTTATTTTGTTGTTTTTTCTTTTTCTTCCTTTTGTTTCTTGTTTTCTCGTTAGCCTTTTTTTTTTTTTTTTACCCTTTTACAACCTGCTACTGCCCTATATAATCTAATATGAATGTGTACACACACACACATGTGTCTATATATATACTTTAATGATTCTCCCATTTAAATCTTGTCTCTTGTCTGATATTTTGTTTTTGTTACGGACTGTACAATAAAAGGAAACACGATAAATATCAAATTAAAATTGATTTGCAATCTTTCCCCGCACACTATTTTGTGAATTATTCCAATAATATACATATATATATATAAAAATAATAGGAAGAAAAGTATTAACAGATAAAGAAAAATGTGATGTTTAGATGAATAATAATCGATCGATTATATTATACCGTTAGGTTCGTGTTTTATATCATAGCACATCGATGGGAAAATAGGTTAATTCTAGGACACGTTATCCCGGAGGACGAGGAAAATATTTAGGCCATGACCAGGTTGCGATCAATATAGCGTTCTCTAACGTTCACCAGCTTTTGACAAAAGTTTTCATCAAAGAACAGTTGGGGGGTTGACCACAATAATAATGTCCCACGTGTTGTATGTCATTTTCTTAACCTGTTAACCGGTGATTATTTTCCTTTTTAATTACGCAGTGTTTTTTTATTATTATTTTTTTTTTATATATATATATTTATTTATTATTTATTATTAGTTATTATTTATGCTTAAAGTAAATTAAAAGACTATGAAATATATATTTTTTCGTTTATTTATGTATAAAGTACTAACGTTTGTATCTTTGGCTGATTGCCGTGATTTTAGACAGATTGGACATCTGCCGATAATATTATAATATATATATATTATATTTACATATATTATAATATAATATTATAATATTTTTTATTTATATATAATTTATTATTACAATATAATATTAAAAAATAATATTATAATATATATATATATATTATATTAATACGTTTAACGTATTTAAATTTCCCGCTCAATTGAAAGGTTAATCTTGGTCGACATATTGTATTATAATTTTGAACATACAGTTTATAAGTGTCGTACAAAATACAATATTAAATTATAAACCCTTAGAAATATTATACCAAAGTGTTATAAGTTACAAATATGTTTTTCAATTGACTCAAACTTAAATGTATTTGAAAGTAAATTGATTAATACCATTTGAAATAAAACGTCTCGTATGACGGTAACAGCTCGGACGGTTTTAATATCGGTTGGGGGAATAAATATTATTTTCTAACTGATAAAACTAAGGATTATGTGTTATGAAAAAAAAAAAAAAAATTCCCGTTACCGTTATCTTTAATATTATCGTTGATATAAAGTTTTTCAAGGAACACTTGTAGTTTCGAGAATCCGTAATTAAATAAACTCGTTGAACGTTTCCTAGATTATTATCAAATATTAATAATTGTCTAAATGTGGATAAAATGAATGACATTTATGTTTTCAGGCACACATGAAGTTCCCGCCAGATTATCCGTACAGTCCGCCAAGTATTCGGTTCATGACGAAAGTTTGGCATCCGAACGTGTACGAGGTGAGTGAATACGTGAAATATCGATCCCCCTGCATACCTCTCGTTTCATCATCCATCCCTTTTCTTTTTCTCTCCCTTATTCATGCTACCCTTTTTTCTCTCTGTCCGCCACTTTCCCCTTCTCTCTTTCATCCAACCCCTCTGGTGGGGTGTCTTTTACCCTCTGTGCTCTCATGGCTTTCACGAGCATCAACTTTTTTACTCGTCTCGTTTACTCTCTCTTTCTCTATCTCTCTGTCTCTCTCGAAAAAATCATTTTCTTTCTAACGACGAGATGAACTAACGAATTGTTCGTTTTATTCTGTACATCGATTGTTCTTTTTTTTTTTTTTATTTAACATTAGATTTACGGACTGTCGTGAGCCAATTTGATTCATTACAAATTTGATTACTGTAATATATATTATGGCAGTGTGTGATTCCCAAAGTGGGCGCCACTGCTCCCTGGTGGGTGCTGCAGCAATTCAGGAGAGGGTGTAGAAACATATAAATTTCCTATTAATTGCTATTAACCCTTTAAGTGCTGAATACTTTTAACTATATAAATAAATATATATATTATAAAAACAATATTATATAATTTATAATCTATAAAATATATTAATTATATATAACTAAAATAAATATTATATGTATATTTAAAAACATACGTTGGTCTTTAATTACGTAATGAAATACGTGTACCTGACGAGTAGATTCTTCTCTGTTGGCCTCAGAGCGTATTCCTCCACCTGGTGTGTCGACCCTTTGCCAACTAGGAGGTACGAAGGTGGAGTCATTGACCGACAAAAGGTTCTTGGACATTCGTGTCCAGTTGTTAACTGAGAAGACTAACCGATAGAACGAATGATTAGAAACGAATACAAACTAACGGGAATAACGCAAATCTCTCTCTCTCTCTCTCTCTCTCTTTCTATCTGTATAAATAAATATACAGCAACTTACGAAAGTATTTGAACACACTTACCATTTTATTCGTTCGTATAAATTTGTATTTTAAAGTAAACATGTGCAAGAAGTACATTTGTTCGTAGTATACTTGTATAGGGTACTTTGTTTAATCGTATCCAATCCTTGGTAAAGGTTTTGAAGGACTAAAAAGAGAGAGAGAGAGAGAGAGAGGAAGAGAGAAAGATAGATCCTACGTTGTTGGTCTTTTACGTGAAGAGTGGCCGTCCGGATTTCCTGTCGCCTCGTTGAACTCTCCACGAGTTTACGACTCGGCTTGGCTAGGATCCGGTCATCCGGGCTAATCGAACGTTACACCATTGAACCCAGCTGCTGTTGCTGGTGCTAGTGCTGGTGCTGTTGTCGTTGATGATGTTATACGCTTAACCAAGATCAGAGGAGACGAGCGTGAAAATAGCGTGAACGAGCGTGAAAACTTTTACGATCCTCTCACACCTACGTGAAACAAAACAAAAACAAACAAAAAAATTGGTACCCAATAAGAGAGTTAAACTCGTGCAAACTTCTTTTTGTTTTTTGGCTTTTTTTTTTCTTAAACAAATTTGTTAAATCTAGTGTTAAATATTAACATTTGTCCGTTAGAAATATATATATATTAGGGAAATTCTGTCCATATTTAATATCAAATAATAAATTATTCATAATTTGAATCAAATTAATTACATTTAATTACTTTTGAACTCTTAGAAACATGATAGCAATTTGTATATTCCATATAAAGAAATGGGGCCTTACGTGTAACCCTAGTGACGAAAAATTCAACTAATGTTTCTTTGAACGAACAGAATTTTCTTAATATTAATCATAATAATAACAGAAAGAAAAGTTGAAATTATACTGTACGTGATGTCGCATATATTGAAATAGCACCGGAAGCCTAAGATCAGATTATATATCTTTATAAAAAGATGAAAGAAAGAGAAAAAAAGTCGAAAAGTCGTTGACGCAGCCGAGACTCGTCTAACGCGGCAAAAGATAACATCGATTCTATTCATAACTCGTCATAGAAAAAAGATAAGTAAAAATGATTTACAGAAAAAGATGAAAATAAAAATACAAATAAATGTGTAGTAATAAAAAAAAAGAAACACGCGAATAGAGTGAGTGAGAGAGAGAGAGAGAAAGTAGAGTCATCGAAGTGTCCGAAGCAAGCACGTATCGGGTGGTTGCTTTATTACGGAATCTCTTGGCTGCCCTCGTAGAGAGAGAGGTCGACGCCTCGAGAGAGATCCGCCGAAGCGTGGAACGCGTGCTCGAGTGTTGTACTGCTGCACACGGTCACGTAAATATACACGTGCATAAATGCGCGCGCGCCCTCGTACACCTTTCTTTCTCTCCCGTCAATTCTACAAACATATATATCTATACTATGCTCGAGTATTGTACACACACGATCAAATATACACGTGCATAAAAATGCGCGCGCGCGTTTCTTTCTTTCTTGTACTGTACACATATATATATATGTACACAAATACACTATATATATAGTTGGCTCGAGTTGCTTGTAAATCGCATGCTCGTATTTTCATCTGTGTGAGTTGCACACGCACACGCGCACGTGCGTAACCGCAGAGAGCACCGACTGCGTTCGTGAACGCTCGCGCACGTTCGTTCACGGGGGAGCAGCTCTCCTCTGGTCCGAGAGTTTCTCTCTCTCTCTCTTTTTCTCTTTTTCTCTTTTTTCTCTCCCTATCTTTCCATCTCTCCCCTGTCGACTAAGGTCGCACTCGGCGGGACCTCCGAACGACTATTAACGGGACAGGATCTCTTTCTCTCTCTCTCTCTCTGTCGAGTCTCTGTGAGAACCAAGCGTAGTACGTTACCCTGCTGCTTGCTTGCTTGCTTTCTTGGTAAAGGTGGTGTACCAAGAAAGAAAGAGAAAGAGGACCCGCGACTTGCTTGAGTTGTTGCTCGTTTAGCTTGAGTTCAAGGTAGAACGCGATGGGATTTACGTGAGGGACCACACTACTTCTCCCTGCTATTAGAACAAGAAAGAGAGAGAGTGAGAGAGAGAGAGATAAGCTGAATTATTCTCTTTCTAACTTGTGACGTTTACTTCTGAGCTTTTGCAATCCTTATTCTATCTTCATGGCACCACCACCACCACCACTACCACCACCTTTTGAAAATAACTGGAATTCGCGAGGAGGCCTCTATGGTTGTCAATTATTATCACGTTTCATTTCTCTTTCTCTCTTCTTTTTTTTTCTTTCCATCTTTCTTACCTGACCATGAGTTTTATCAATCGTTTCTTTTACGCAAAGAAACTTAATCACATTCTGCGTCATTATATTTCACGTAAATGTACTGTTACCAATTGATATTTTATTTTCATTCGACAATTATAACACATAATTGTTTTTTTATTATTCATTCATTTCATTTTGTACACCTTCATATTATTATTATTATTCATGCATCATCTACAAAATGTCACTGTTATAATTATCAGATTAAATTAAACGAGATAAATATCAAAAAGAAAGATAATCATTAACCTTTTTTCCTCCCATTGTATTCAATTTTGAATTGATGAATAGTAATCATTGAATCATTTTCGTGATCATTCTCGACTGGATCACAAAGAAAAACGGCATTTATTTTTAACGTACCGTGCGCAAACGGTAGTGTTGTATAGGTTATAAATTTTCGCCCACCTTTTCCGAGTATCGTCTAAAATCGGAGAAAGAGAAAGAGAACAAGTCAGTACCACCACCTCGACTCGATGAACAAGTTGTCTGCCAACAACATCATGAATTTATACAAAATAAAAAGACATTTTTAATACCTTTAATGTATTTTATATAGTCGAGTTACCACTTGACTCAAAATATTATTTCGATGAATCACAGGTGAACATTTCTTAATATTATCTTAATAAGATAAGATATAGCTAACCCTTCTGTAATATAAGTTTCTAGAAAAAAACACTGTGTTGTGTGAAATCATGTTACATGAGAAATTATTCCTTCTTATCATTATTTTATTACAATTTTCATGTTGACACTGGATATATCAGCATAACCATCATTTTGATTGGTCGGGAGAGAGGGGTGTCATTTCAATTCAAAATGTCTACTTCATGTAACATTTAATTCCTGTAAATAATTTTAAAACAGTTTATAAATCCATTTATCTATTAAAATTATTATTGTTAAACATTTTTTTCTTATTTTTTAAGAATAAATAAAGACTGGATGCTTCAAAAAGCATTTTTTTTGTTTTTTGTTATACACCAGTCTCATTTTGACTAGTGTGGTAGAAATATTGAAAATGGTGGTATATCTAGTGTTAATTTACTTTACGTTCTTTTCTATTTTCATTTGCTTTGCAGAACGGAGATCTCTGCATATCTATCTTGCATCCACCGGTAGATGATCCACAAAGCGGTGAACTGCCATGCGAAAGGTGGAACCCAACGCAAAATGTTAGGTAAGATCTCTACATGAAGATCTTTTGGATTCCCTTCATCTATTTTTTCTCATCATTCTCAACATTATCATCATCATCATCATCATTATAGTCATCATCGTCATGGTTTTATAAATAAATTTAACACTAGATTTACCAACAGAGCCAATTTGACTCATTATTTCAAATTTGATTTCTCACAAATATATATAAAAATTAAATAATATTATTTTTTCATATCATAATGAAATATAATGTAAGTATTAAAATTCCTCCCTTTTGTACTAAACCCTTCATTCAAACAATCTTTGTAAATTCCCTAGTAGCACAAAATATTTAAAAAAAAATATTAAATACAATGTGTATTTAATATTATCGCGGCAGATGTCCAATCTGTCTAAATTCACGGCAGTCAAGCTAAAGGTACAAACGTTAGTACTTTATACATAAATAAACGAACAAATATACATTTTTATAGTCATTTAATTTACTTTAAGCATAAATAATAACTAATAATAAATAATAATATAAAAATATTGTGAATACGTGTATATTTAATACACATGTGTATTCAATATTTTTCAATATTTTGTGATACACTAAGGGGTTTGTACAAAAAAAGATAATAGTTAACATAACCTCTATAAATTTAATGTTAAAATACAATAAATGATAAATAGAATATTCCTTTAAGATATATATATATATATATCTTTTATAGGACGATTTTGCTCTCTGTGATCTCACTCTTGAACGAACCCAACACATATAGCCCTGCCAATGTAGATGCATCGGTGATGTACAGACGCTGGCGTGATTCCAAGGGTAGAGATAAAGAGTATGAAAATATCATAAGGTAAGAAACAAGTATCGAGATGGAGGATATACGATTCTTTCTTTCTCTTTCTTTTTAACTACACATACATAAACATTCACACACTCATATATATATATATATATGTAGTGTGTAGTACACCTTCGTTCCATTGTTCTTACCTTCTCTTACCGTTATAACTTACATAGTCTTTTTTTTCTCACCACTCCTACAGTTCGAAGCGAAAGTTTTCTCGCCTTGTTCAAGTCAAGTACATATATCGTCATTTATCATGAATTAAAACTACGAAAGTTCTTTAATAATATAAATCATTATCAAACTCTTTGTCACCCCCCACTTTCCCAGCCACTTCTTTTACTTATCGTTTGATTTTCAATAATTCAAGTTGTTCTCTTATTCATTAATTATCTTCAAAAACAAACTTATAATAGATAAACATATTGTAATAATTACAGTAATCCCTCCTTATAACACGGTACTCTTATAACGCGATTTCGTATCTCACGTAATAACGCGGACGGGGATTCCCAACTTTTCATGAGAAAGGTTAAACGTGAAAATTGTTTACGAAAACACAACACTCGTATTGGGGATCTCTAGCACTTGAATACGCTATCTGGTGGTTAAATTCAAAATTAGAGTAGATAGGTCGAATTGCTACATCACGTGGGATCTCTAGCACTTGAATACGCTATCTGGTGGTTAAATTCAAAATTAGAGTAGATAGGTCGAATTGCTACGTCACGCCCCCTGCCAGAGATTCCAATAATAACGCGGAACCAATATATCGTGTTATAAGGGGGATTACTGTATATATCTTATTTGTAATTAATGTAATTAAATTTAAACCAAAAAAACAAAAAACTATGACAGGGAAGCTTTAAATTTATATTGCACAATATTATTACACATATATAATTGTGCAAAACTATTGAGAGAAAGGAAAATAAAGAAAATGGTAAATCGTTTGTGGTATTTAATAATAAAAAGAAAAAAAAAAGGATTTCCATTCAATAAATATTAATGTTTACAGAAAGCAAGCTCAAGCTGCTAAGGTAGAAGCTGAAAAGGAAGGTATTGTAGTACCTGTAACATTGGAGGATTATTGCATAAAAACGCGTGCGAGGCCAGCCGAACAACAATTGGATATGACAGATTTCTACGATGATGAATATGAATTAGATGACGACGAGGATGAACAACTTAGCGCCAGTGATTACGAAGATGGCGATGATAGCGGAAACGGAGAGTCGTGATCCATTTCTTAAGATTATTAATTACGCGGAATAATTATTATTACCAGTTCTGTATAGATTAATAAATTAATGAGCTTTTAAACCGGACGCGCTCTCTCTCTCTCTCTCTTTCTCTTTCTCTTTCTCTCTTTCACACATAATCACTTTCTCTTTTTATCTTTATCTATTTCTTTTCTTTTCTTTTCTTTCTTTCCTTTTTGTCTCAAATTTATATATATATTCATACAAATATATATAAATACACGTATACATTGAAAATATAACAAAGGATACACTTTCATTCATTATTTCTTTCTTTCATACTCTTCAAAACTCTTTTCTATAATTTGTATTCTTCTTTTCATTTATTATTCTTGAAATATTGATGAATGTATAACATCATTTTTATATTATTCAAACGTGTATCTCACCTTCTTCCTATTTTCTCCATCACCACCACGTAAATTTTCAATTAACGCGTCACATTGTCATATCATGTTAATAATACGACTCTCCGCCGATCGCCATGAAGAAGAAGAAGAAGAAGAAGAAGAAGAAAGAGAGGATCAATCAAAGAGACATCGTCAATTAAAGAAAAAATTCGTATTCGTATATTTACATCATCACAAGCACCGAATTTGTTCCCCTATCCCAATTTCTGCGTTTGATGATTATCATTACCAAATTAGAAATTGTTGTGTTGTTTTTCTTTTTTTTTTTATGTTTGTTTGTTTTCCAAAGAAGTTTCTTTAGGATAAAATTCTTTATTATTATTGGTGAACAAACTTAATTGAAAAAAAAAAAAAAAATAAGATAATAAGAAAATGTTATTTGAACGATTGAATAACATTGTCATTTTTATAAATATATTTGTTTGATCTGAAAAGAAATGAAATTTTTGTAAGAGCGTCGTACCAGTTTTAAATGAATCGGTTAATATTACCGTGTTTACAAGCTCCTTAACTTTAAGCAATATACGGTACGAATATAAGTACTTCGGTAGGAAGGAGCACCGTGCTTGTTGTTTGTGGCTGGCACATCCGATCTTCGAAATAACAATGAAGAAAAAAAAGAAGGATCGATTGATTTATCCATTTTTTTGTTTTTTTTTTTCTTTTTTCAAAAGGAATAATAACCTGTTCTATTTAAATTGATATACTTGAAATAATAAAGAATTGGTATTTCAAAATAACACAATGAACATTTAAAAAAAAAACGATTACGAACGGGGTACATCAATTGATCGATCTTAGGCATATACAATCTAATTAAAAAAAAAAAAAAAAATAATTAATGACAAAATTATAAAATTGTGAAAATTATGTATATCATAAAAGCGTGATGATTATTTATTCTGTAAAGCCAAAAGTGTAATTTCGAGATGAGTGTAATGTAATGATGCAAAAACAAGAAAAAAAAAAAAACAAAACAAAAAAAAACACCAATAATTATTCAATTGACAAAATGAAGCAAGTTGTCCAGAAATAAAAAAAAAAAAAATAAAAAAGAACTCTTTGATTCGAGATTTGAAATCCCCTAGAGTTCGATTTATTATATGCGAAAAGAAAGAAAGAGAAAAAAAAAAGAAAACTAATCTTTTCAATTATAAGAATATTATTTATTAATCAAATTAATCTTTTATTTATATAAAAATCAGATCACACATTTATTTTGTTGATGATTAATAAACATATAAAATTGAAAAGAAATGTCGATGGATTGCTTGCTTACATTTTCACGCCGCAAGATAATTTTTATTACGAAAACAAAAAAAAAAACAAAAAAGAAAACAATATTCTGAGTTGTAAACTAAAAGATAAAAATGTTTTGAAAAATAAGTAAAACAATGTATGTCTGAGAATAAGATGCCTACTCTTTAATATGCATCGTGTGTTACATCCACGAAATTAGTTTAACTAATAATTTTAAAAAGCCCCCTATTTAGAATTATTATTATTATTTTTTTTTTTATAATAATAAATAAACTTTACATATAATAATGGTAACTATCAATTAGAATTAATTATGGTATCCTAATGTTTGTATAATGTGTGTATTTCTTATTTTATTCATTAGGTTTTGTTTCTTTTTTTTTCTTCTTTTCTTCTCTAAGTGTTGTAGTTACCATTTT